TCAACTTCTGGCCTCCTTTTGAAAAATACTTCAAACTTAATAAAGACTCACCTAAGTACAAGGAGCTGTCTAGTTTCCATACTGCTCGACCTGATGACGTAATTAGTTTACCCTAACTCTAACCCTAACCTTAACCCTCTACTTGAAGCAATTAATCATGCTAATTTATGACCATTAATCATGTTTATTTATGACTATCAGGTCGAACAGTATGGAAACTAGACAATTCCTAAGGACAAGGACCTTTGACTTCATGTAACCAAGACTACATTTGACTACATTAAACAATGCTAGTTCCTGTGATATTGTTTTTGACGACATAAATTTTTTGTTTTTAAGGGTTTGACAACGATTAGCTAATTCCTTTCAGTCAACATACTATCGTCATAAATCTTCAATAAAAGCACCAAAAGTATGAAAAGTAGTAAACTCCCAACAATTCGAACCTCCTAGGGGCCAATTAAATGGTTCGACTTAGCGAATGTTCCAGTTATTGAGGGGATTTTCAAATGAATGTATTGGGCAAAGGGAAACCATAACAGTTCGACTTAGCGAATATTCGAGTTACTGAGGTTTCGAGTTATCGGGAGTTTACTGTACAGTATCCTTAATTGACGTAAGGTGGTTAATCAAAATGTAGCCAAAAAAGTCGTACAGTAACGTTATGTATCATTGAAAGTTTGTAGTAAATTTCAAAAAGAGGCCATAAAATTCATCAGTGTATTGTTGGGAATACTATTCTGTTTATTGTGATATCAGCATATCTCTGTGTACCCTGGGTACCAGTCTCTCTCCTATTTTTTATAGATTGAATCTGGTATTCAGGTTAATCTCTATGAATATCAGAGATTTGGCTGACGTTGTCTAGTGAAGGCTAATCTGAGGCCTTTGCAGGTGTTTAGTTCTATCAAAATAACAAGGGGGGCTCTTTCGCAAAGCGCTGCGAAAAACAATAGCAAAAGTTGAAGTCGGTTACTTTTCAGCATTAAGAAGGGAGGCTCAGTCCTCCTGAGGCCCCCTAGCACTACGCCCCTGGTCCTTTGTATAACGTTGTGATGGCTGGTTTTGTAAACCTGTGAGATTTCTTTTTGGTAAAGGCGGATATTTTCTTTTGATGACGCAAATGTGACCAGAGTTATTTCAGGAAAACCACTGGGCGTAAATGACCACAAGAATTCAGATATTTCTACCATGTCCGTCTCGGAATTTCGAGAAATTTTTCTGGGAATTTTCAAAAGTTGTGTGAATATGGATATCATCTAAAGATAGTACAACTGTATCAAAAAAATAATATTTATTTTTTTGGTTTTTCAAGCTTTTGAGTTATACGCATACTATTTAGATCAGGTGCTGTACTCACTCTTGATTCGGAATTCAAGACTGTTATCAACGACTATGTTATCAAACCTTCATTCATCACAATCTCATGTTTCGTAATTCAAGTTGTTTAGTCGAGTATGACGTCATTTCGTCGAGATTGTGTTTTCTACACTCACAATGCTATGTATCGTGCGTTCTTCAAAACCGCTATTAGTTCTGCCTTCTTTAACCTTCATTCCACCCTCACAAAAGAATAGTTAAGGCCCTTATTCAGCCAGAATTAACAATGTCATTTCCTATGAAGGTTACCTTTTCTTAGTGGTTTGTTCTTTGTTAACAAATCACAGATATAAAACCATGATATCACCATCAGTGTCAAAACCGCCAGTTGGATTCGTTTTGTGAAGACGTACGATAAGTAAAAAGAAAACTCTTCGACAATACGTTAAAACAAAATGGAAAATGTGAGTTGCCTCGAATTATTTATTGGCATTCATATTTCATGATTCGGTCAAACGCCTAGTATTCTTTTACATTTTTTTATCGTTTTCTTCCATACACTGCGCGGCAAAGCTTGAACAAATTTTAAAACCGGCCTTGTTTATTGTTTTTTATCTCATTAAGCACTAGGCTAAGATTGAATCGATTTCATTATTTATCTTTAAAATTACAATTGATATTTACAAGCTATACTCGACAGCTGCTAGATGTTTGTTGCCTTGCATAGATTCAGTATCTAGAAAAATAATTCCGGAAAAACACCTGGAACCTTCCTTGTTTTGGATGTTAAATGGTTTGATATAAACCACGGCTATGTGAATACAACAGCTTTTGATTTAGAAAACACTTTCACGATAAGTGGCTGTTCTGCTTTGATGAATTTATGTTCATTACATTTGTGACCACCCTATATCACTCTTTGCTTTTCTGATGATTGTATCATTACCCCATTTAGCAGTATGTTGGACCAATATGGTTTTGGTACATGTCTCCTTAACACTAGGTATTTTTTGCTAGAACAAATGGGCCACTCTGGTACAACAGGTCAGGGCCTACGCCGCGAATTTGAAGGTGGGGGGTGGGCAGGGCTAACGAAAGTGGGGGTCAAGGGTTCTTTCACCTTTGATTGTAGCTTTGAAATTACCTGCTTCATACAAAGTCTGGGGCATGCCCACCCCTCCCGACCCCAGTGGCGTGGGCCCTTCAGGCTGTCTTGGTTTAGTTGTCCAAGCGAGTCCACTTCCGCATCTGTAGGAATAAAGAATTAGTAATGAACTGGTGTTTTTTTAGTTTCCTGTGAAGCTGTCACTGAAGTAAAGTTTGAAGACCATGAATGCTTGATTACCTAAATTGATATTCATAAATAAACAGTGACATATGTTACCCTAACAATAGCAGGGACTGGCCTAGTCGTTTTGCAGGAGAAGTCTTTCAGTATTGTAACTCATGATGGTAGGGTGACCGATAATTGATTCTCTATTTTTGATAGAAACAGTTATATCTAAAGCATCGTACAACTGTTTGATGCTTCTGTCCTTACTAACAAAAAAACCAGCCTTTTAAATTCTGCCATTTGCACTTTAATTTTAGGTAAAATCTTATTATTTCGATTTTCTCCGATTATCATATCTTTAACCATTGATAAATTCAATCAAGACTTTATATTGGGGTAGGAATTAAACTGAAAATTGTGTGTTGTAGCACGAGAAGCTGACCTGGCGTTGTGGGGGCTATGGGGGTGAGCAATTGTAGAATGCAACACCCTATTGAGCCGACCAGACAAAGCCTTACCTTTCATTTAAGCATTTATTTTTGTATTTGTACGATTCCCTGTCTAGTAAAATATTGGTAACGTAATCGCCCACTTTCTTCTTTTTACATGTTTACCCCTTAGAGAAGAATGCTATAGCACTTTTATTTGTCTAGGCCTAAAGAACAATTCTCAAAAACTTTTATACACAGCTACTCAACTAAAACTCCTGAAACTGTGAACAAGTATAACCAATTAGATCATTAACCTTTCCTGCAATTTAGCGTGCGTTTCCTCGTATCATGTCGATGATTCAGCACACTTCAGACCTTTTTACTCTGTGCCCAAAGATTTGCTGGAAGGAAATTTTTAGCCCTTTCTGATTATCTATACCAATATTGATTATCGTAACATAGTTGTTGAAGGTCAGCAAAACAGTCGAAGCGTTTTTCAATATTCTGTGGATCTCTGCCTTTCAATATTTTTTAGTTGACTACCTTGAATTTCCTTCTTCCTGGTTCCATTTCGATTAGCAATTTGATTGAAGTTGTGGTTGACCGGCCTATCCTTTTAAATCAAAGCATTTCAACGAAAACTCAACATCCACATTAATAATGTTTTGTCGGTGGTAGCTTGGTGTTTTTCTCGTTAACATATTCTGGTTCTCGATATCACATTTTTTGATCTTGCGGATTTTAAAAACAGATTATGGCTTTAAAGCTATTAATGGATTGATATTTTAGATCAAACAGAGAACTGACCGTAACATAATAAGCATTTTTATGATTTCGGGCTTTGTTACATAGTGCTGTGGTTTAGGTTTTCTTGTATGAATTGAAAATATTTACGATTAGAAAAATTTCTGTCATAGGCCTTGAGTTTGAGGCCCCGTTCACACGGGAACGCAATCGTTCCGTTCCATTTTTGTTCCAGTTTCTGGAACGAAAAGGTATACAGTTCACACGGTAACGGAACGATTGCGTATCGATTTTTGTTTATGTTCAGACGGGAACGCAATCGTTCCGTTCTGCAATTTGCGCGCCAAAATAAGTGAATGATTTTTAATGCGCATGTCCATAATGGAGATAGATTTCATCATTTCGATTTATCTCTGAGCCATCTCTGAATTTTTTAAACAGTTTGAAAAAAGGGAGAATACAAAAGCGCCCCAAAATAAGCAAGCTCGTGGGAAAATTGAAGCCAACCTTAAAAGGAAGGAATTTCAATGTTTGCAGAATGGTGTTGAATCTTTCAAATGGACTGACGGCGAGATTCAGCCCAATTGTGTTTTTGAAATCCTCCATTTTCTTCGCTGAGTTTATTATTGTCACCTTTTCCTTCCCTCAACAACAACACAGACGCATGCGCCAAGGGCAAAACTCTTATCGTTCCATTTTCTGGACCAGTTCTGCGCGTTCACATGGGAACGGAACGGAACGATTGCGTACCGTTCCACTTTTCGTATCACTTATTTTATCGTTCCACTTTTTGGAACGGAACGATGTCGTTTGAAGCGTTCCCGTGTGAACACAACCCCTGAGCGTTCCGCTTTTCGGAACGGAAAAGAACGGAACGGAACGATTGCGTTCCCGTGTGAACGGGGCCTGAGTAATTTCTCGATGTAGTGAAATAAAGTACTCCGAGTCTTCCCGTTTCCTATGTTCTTATTCTTTTGCGGCTCTGTCCGCAGGAATCTTTAATCATAGCACTTGCCATTTAGATCGTATCAATTGAAACTTTTTTATAACTGCCGCAGGAAAGAATGGACGATTAGTGAAATCTTTTCTGTGACCCAACATGAATTTAATGTCGCCCATATGGAAACCATTATCAGCAATGATCATTATGATTTTAAGATTTTAATCATGATGATTCATTAATATTTGGTACTCATGATGAGCGATGTATGACATTCTTGTCTTCTGTTTAGTTCCCAACTGGAAACAAAGCCGCCAGACCAGCATCAGGTACTGCTGCCAAAGAGGCTAAAGGACCCTCACAGGGAAACAAGTGCAATTCATGTGGCAAAACGGTGTATCCCATGGAGAAGCTTGAGGCTGATGGCCGCATGTTCCACAAATTCTGCTTCAAATGCACCGAATGCAAGAACACTTTAAGGTATATTGTCTGTTTATGTTACATTCTCTTTTATTTAAATAGTAAAGCAAGTGAGATTAAACTACAGTTTTAATAAGTCCTTATTACATTTCTGATTTATAGAGGTAGGAGGTGGTTGTGAAAAGGTGCCATTTGTCTTTTCTATTTAATGAAGCTGCTTCAGAGAATCCTTCAAAGAAGAAGTTCTTTGAAAAAATCATTATAGGGAGTGTTAAAAAAGAATAATAAATTGAAGAAGAGCTAGGCTAACAGAAGTAGTTTAAAACTAAGGAAGAGGAGACTCAAAGGAGAAAAAATAACAAAGCAGTTGACAGTTTTTTTAGTAACCTTCTATAGCAAACATTATTGGTAACCTGCCTCTGAAACTATTTTATATATATGTTATATAAAAACAATTTCAGGGGCAAATAAATAGAATATGGAAGTACTGAGTACACAAATTGAGTGTTTTGTATTGAGTACACAGAAAGGAACCAAATGCTAACAAAACTTCTTGTGAATTGTAAAACCATCCGAGGCTTGGTACTACCACTTGCGTAATATTTTCCTTGTAACAATGGTAAAATTTCTGTGCTTGTGAGGCAGGACATTATTGCTTTCTGATAGCTACTTCTAGTTTGTATTTTTGTTTAATCGTCGTAATATCCACTTCATAGGCTTGGAAACTATGCAGCGTTGTCCGGCAAAATCTACTGCAAGCCCCACTTCAAGCAGCTCTTCCGTCTCAAAGGTAACCTACAATCAATACCGATTTTCTTAGAACACTTACGTCACATCGAATGCCGGATTACCGTGAACTATCGGGGGGGGGGGGGGGGGTGGAGTGGAAACATCGATTAGAAGGGCAATAAATTAGAAATATAGAAACGACAATGAATTTTGGCAGGCATTTTAGTTTTGGGTGCAGCAAGATCTTAATCTTGAGCTGAAATTTGATAATAAGAGTGTTCATGATTATCAAGACCATCTTAACTCAACGTTTTCATGACAGAATAAACGACGAATTAAGTTTAAATCAACAAAAACTATGCAAATAGAAAGATGTTTGAAACATCAATTTTGATGGAACCTTGAAGATTTGTGGATCAAAGTTTAAACCATCTTGAACCAAAGAGCGACTTTGGGTCAACATTAAGTCATACCGTCGTACCTCTGACGCTAAACGCTTTCACACTAAAGTACTTTTTGCCCTACATTCATCAGCGTATATAAAGTTGGATAGATTCTTAAATATTAACGAACTTGTGTATCCCTGTGTGGATTATATGTAACATCAGAAGAAGTAAGGCGTGATTCATTTGTTCCTTGCAAGGAAGCAAAATTAGAGAGTTTCCCGTGAGATGATTAGGCCAATTAGGCCATGTTTTCTGCATCTCCGCGCTGTTGTGAAAATTGTAAATTTATTCTTTTTTTCTTATTGTCTGTTTTTTTATTGTAGCTAGTTTTTGCTTCTTTGTACCTTTTTACTGAATATCTAAGTGGATCTGACACATTTGCTTTTTCACCTGCACCATGGCCCATCTATAACGATGAGACATAGCACCATTGGCAGGCCCTTGTGTAGTGAAACTTCCGTTGCAAGTTCACACTTAGGCCTTATTTGCATACAACAAAGCATATCTAAAACCATGACACCGATTTGATTCTATTGGACTCGCTTTATTAAATTGTAGGTAATTATGATGAGGGATTCGGAAGGGAGCAGCACAAAACCAAATGGACAGGCAAGAATGACGAACAACCCCCAGTTTCAAGCAATCCAGAGGCAGCCTCAAGTGCAAGCGTAGAGCAAAGCGAGGCTCCTCAGATTGTCAATGGTGATCACCAGGAGGTCACAGCTGAAGCCTAATGGCTCATTGAAGAAAAATTCACCCTAACGTTAGTCTATTATTCTCAATTTCCATTCACGTAAAAACATTTTGTCTCCTTGTGGCAACTTGAATGGCAAACCTGACAATCTGCATTGACATACTGTAGGTTTTATATGAATCGGAAGCTATCTGAAATCTATATATTAAACTTCCCAGTGTAACTAGCCCTGCGAGCGTTTTTCTTCACGGGGGATAGCAGGTAAATTAGGAAGAGGCAGAAAAAATTATCTTGGACTGGTAGGGGATAGGATGTTCTGCCAAAGAGGGAACTTAACTGGGAACGTGGGAGAATGGAAAAATGCCAGGGTTGTTAGATTTTTGAAAGGAGACATCCCTGGTGAGCAAGATTCTCACCGAGAACAGTAATCACCAGGTGTGTTACACAAGGGTGTTTTTGTGTATACTTCTGGGGCCCAGTGCATTATATACTCCACTCTGTATTTTTAAAAAGCATTGCTTTCAAAACCAACACATTGTATTTTGTATCTTTTTGTTTGCCTATAACGTGATCAGTGCAGTTTTCACGGTTTGCCATGCATGGTGTTGTGAGTTGCTTACTGTCTCGTAAATTTATCTAGATGCCTTTGTTGTTGGATTCAATTTTGTAATTATCAAACGGGACATTTGAAATTTTATAGATCTTATCGTTAGAATTTCAACATTAGAAATATTGTAATAGTTCGAAGGATAACTGTTTTTGAATAGAACTATTGCAGTAGATTGTCTTTAGGTACACGAGAATGAACCACGCTTGTGTTAAATCCAACTGAAATTCTTTGTATCGCGATCTTGACTTTATTCTTAAACTCAGATGGTAAAAAAGTTTCGATTCATGCTAGTTAAAAGGCTTATTCAGAGTTCAAAAAGCCAACAGTAAAAGGTTTATAGAATATGCCAACTCGGTCCTTTTGTTTATCCACATCCAAAGGAATTCGATGTCCACTGTTGGGACTTAGAACAGTGACCAGCGTGACGGGATTTTTTTGTCGATCGTTCTGTATCATCGAATCTTCCATACACAATAAACCTATTTTGTACTTGTTCTGTTTGATGAGCAACACTCTTAAAGATCATACGTCGCTGTTCAGCTCCAAACAGAATAACTATTTACCATACGGTCTGTGTCTGATATGTTTCTCACGGCAGATCACATCTTGTATTGTAGCTATAATTTTGGGCATGTAAGTTTTTCTGTTTTCTAACAGCTGACTGCCCCTCCCTTTTGAATATCTTGCATGCTCATAGTTTTGTAGAATAGCCAAAAGTGCTTTTCTTCAACATAGCACAAGTTTTCGTTTTCTCATTGTGCTGTCTTAGTTGAAAACTGTCGTGCACACTCCATTATTTTACTACTTTAATGAAACTGGCTAGAATTTTTCGCTGAATTTTTTAACTATTTCATTCTAGATAATTAGTAACGGAAATGCATTAAAACAGGGCTTTTCGCGTGAATTGATTTCCAGAATCATTGATGTAGATTGACTTTCCGAGCAACTTAGGCCCGTTGTACGTTTTTCGGCGGTTTCTGTTGTCTTTAGTTGCTGATTAAAAATTACCAAGATCGTTTGAGGAATTTGTTGATAAATACTCGTTGTTATTTCATATCGATTTTAGTGTTTGTTTCAATATAAGGCAAGTCCCCGTCGTTGTTTGCAATTTTTCTTTTGAAGTACATTGATCTTAACATCGAGATACTTTGTTCACGCGCTCAGTAGTGTAGCCAGGGTGCTAAGATTGGACGATGGACAAAGTCGAGTTAAGCGTTTTCAAAGAGACGTTTTGCTATTAAGGGGCGTCCACCCCCTCTTGCCTCCCCCTCACTACGCCACTGTACACCCATGTACATATGTACCTTTCAAAGACATTTCGCTATTTCAAGAAAAGGCAAGCAATTTGTTCATTTTAGCGGCTCGAACAGTTTTATCAAAGGGAAACACAACTGTCACTTGTTTGGTTGATATAGTTAAAATGTCCATAAAATTAAGTGGGGACAAATTGAGGAGACATTATTCAATAGATAGGGTCTTTTATAAAATTCTGGCTCTTAATTGTTTAGTTACAAAAATAGGCCTTTGAATGGGGATTTTTTTTCTTTTTTGGTTAGTAAAGAATCCATCTTCCTGATAAACTGAGTCACCGGGTTCGGTTAACAGAATACAAATTCCTATTCTGTTGTTCGGTTTCTAGCGCATACGAGGCTAAATAAAAATGTATCCGGAAGAATTTTCTCGGAATTCTCACAGGCGAGATCACCCTTGCAACTGCGCTTTCATTGATGCGGGCCTGTTGTTTCAAAATATCTTGTTAAGAAAGCAAATCACTTGATTTGTTAATTAAGTCCCGGCTCCGAGTAGAAAAGTCTTTCAAGGAAATTGCAAAGGACTCATGAATCTGTGACTAAATGATTTCATTTCAGGGGGTTACATCGACAAAAGTATGCCTTCTTTCGCCAAACAGGATTTTGAAAGTACGTACACATGGAGGAAAGGAAATGCTCGGTTTTAGCAAAACATCATGCTTTGGGATGTCGGAACTGTAGATTTGCCTGTTAAGGTAAGCACAAACAATTATTTAATGCTTAAATAAGGCATATAGCGAGTTTCATGCCGATTTTGTCATCCAAAGAGAAGTTATAGTTTTTGTGAACTGCCGTTATTTTTGTGACCTAAATGATGTCAAATTTTCATAATAGAGTAAGCTGTTTCAGCATCTTGCTGCAGTTTTTGCAATAAAACCAAGTAAAGTTCTTTAAAAAAACACTTTACTAAAGTCCTTAGACAACTATACCGGTCTTGTGCTTGCGTTTTTCTGATTGGCCTATTTCGACCCACAACTGGGTATATATTTTTCATCGTGTTCTTTCGGACCCTTATTCTGACGTTTTATGTTCTGAGGAGTGTCAGACGAAAAAGCTTTTAGCCAATATGTTATGAAATGTTTGCTTTTTCAAAGCCATTTTAAACTCCCTTTTAGAAAAGCTGATATTTTCCTGCATGTATTGTGACGTACAAATGTTTCAGCGTAATAAGGTTATTGTATATCACTGGATTAATACTGTCCTTGGAGAACACACCGGATTTTTTAAGACAAGGGTGCTTAAAGTACTTTTAAAACTGCAATTCAGCTAATAAAGATTTTCCATAAGCTTTCCTAGAAACTTTTTTTAACTATCCATGAAGTATTTGAATATTTTTTTAAGGATCAACACATTCAATTTACTTACTTTCCTTCCCGCTTCATGTGAAACTTTTGTCACGTGAACATCGAATATTATGACACGTGCATAAAAGCATAGATATTTCCTTGCACTGACGAACTAAGGACATATACATTTTTACCTGTCTTATTTCAGAATATATGTGTAATGATAACTTATATATCAAAAAGAAAAACGAATTCTTATACAGGGAACAAATATTTGTGCGAACCATCGCTGTTTCGCTGTTATCGATGTGTCTCCTGGTAAAAAATAGTCATTAAGCATATTTGAAATAATCTGGGAATAATTGTTATTATGATGGGGGCCCCCTTTTTAATGCCGAGAAGTAGCCTACTTCTACTTTTTGCTATTAATTTTTGAGAATTATTTTGCAAGAACCTCTTGTTTTTTCATGTCTTAAATTTTAGTTATTATACTCCCTTGTGCTTACTTTGGAAAGTACCAAAGAAATTTTGATATTTGGTTTAGATTTTACTTTAACTTACAAAACCCTTTCAAAATGTTTCAAAGAGGGAGTTTCCGAGAAAAGAGGTATTTTGAAAGGAATAGGGGGCACGTGTACCTGGTGCCCCCAGTTGCCCTCAGTTGACCCCAGTTTCGACGTCCCTATGAGCTCAAAGAGAGATAAATGCCACCTCTAAAATGATGATGTTGACATCCCTAAACATATTTTTATTTCTGCGATATCATGTTGGAAAGTCTTTCAGCTTTTGAAACATGTTTTTGTGAATCATGACTTCATAAAGAGCGTTACCAACCCCCTGAACATTGCTTCAATTCATTATTGTTTGGTTTTTGTTCAATTTTCCTACATTGACTAGTTAATTAGGAAAATACAAGGCAAGATGTATCCTTTTACAAAGTTGTTTTTATTTGCGATTCGCTCACCTCAGTTGATTACAAACATACTGCCGGCAGACTCTGAATTTTTATCCTCTCTTTCAAAGGATAGAATTTCGAAGGGATTTTGTAGCCATATCTAAACAGTATTTGGCTGGATTAGAGTTTGACAGGATGCTTTAAGTGTTTAATATACTTGCATACATAGATCAATAAACTGAAAAACTTTGGATGGACGTAAAGATTTAGGTGTATTTTGAGCTAAGCAAGACGAAATCTAAGGCTGGCTATCTGACTTCGCAGCTTTTCTAGGACGGTAAAGGAATCTGCTGGCTGCTATTGAGTCTATGTTATGACAGTTGAGCTCGTATTAGAAGGTGCAAATCCAATTCTTATGCTGGATTATTGTTTCCTCTTTCAAGGGATTGGCATTTCAATGTATCACCTTAGCATACATCAAGTACTAGACAATGTACAACAAAACTCTGCTGCATGTTTCCTTCTAGAGGGATTTCATAACAGCCTTCCGCAAGCTTTTGCGTGAGTAATAACAATTCGTATTTGATTCGAAATAACTAGGCTGCAACCCACGTCAAGGACTGCAAGCTCCTTAAACAGATCAGCCGTTTTGCAAGCGAATAAGAAGCGTCGGAATCGCTGAGATCCGAGATGGCTCAGAGCACGAAAGGTGAGCTGGCAAACAAACAGTAACGATATTGTTCAAATCCATTGTTTGACACTCAGGATTAGGCCAAACGGTTTATTATTTTTCATAAAGGAACCCTCGATTCGAAATTAACTTATAAACATTTTTAAGTATTCTGATAATGGCCGCTGTTGCGGAGATGTATAGTCAGAGTGAAAAGCGAATCTTGAGGATGTTTTGTCTTTAAAATCGATTTTATCGCCAGTCGGCATGGAACATTCAAGAAAAAAGCGCCGGGGTGTTGTGCTGATATCAGAAGCAGCCAAGCGAAATCAACGACTTCTAGAAACGGTAAGTTTAGGCGGTTATAGATACACTTCGCGGATTGAATCTAGCTCTCGATTTTACAGACCAAGGTATGATAAGACACATTCCCCTTCGGCGACTATTTCTGCTCGGCCAAAGAGTTTATATGACTACAGTTCATGCGAGGTTGGCAGGTATTCAAAAAACTCGGAACAGTATTCACAAGGACCTTTGGATACTATCGACGGTTATACGGACTCGCAAAACAGAGAGTTGGTCATTTTTGATATCGATAAAATTGGATTGGGTTTACGGTTTCCAAGGAATGGTAAAGAAAGTCAATCGTGCATTGGTGAAGGAAATAGGAAGCGTTCGAAACACGAAAGACTAAGTTGTGTTCTCCCTGATACATCAGATTATTATTCATCTAGCTATTCTTTTGATGACAAAAAAGACCAAAAGAGAAGATGGGACATAGATGAAAACTGGGAAAAAGACACTTATAGAGATTATTCAATAAGGGACCGGAGATACAGCAACCGGAATTTAAGAGACCAGTTGTCCAGATCTGCAGTATTCCATGTTACCGGAGACGAAATAGAAACCGAATTTAGAGAGAGTCCCTATATTCAAGCACAAAACACACTTGAAATTAAGGGTCCGGAAGGTGGCAACCTGCAAGGTTACAATGGAAATGGATACCGACAATCTCAAAAAAGCGATTTTGATTACCGGAAAGTTACTGGAAAACAATCGAGCAGTCAGGAATATTTGGAACAGAAAGATGACCGGCCTGTACTCAGAGAAGAAAATTACATGGGAGCTGACGCTAAAAGTAATGGAATTTTAGAAAGTCGCAGTTGCTACACAAAGAATAAGAGTGAGCTGAAAAATGATTATCGTGGCGCTTTGAAAGGATTATCAAAGGAAGATGTTAAAGATAAAAAATCAATTAATGGATATAAACAAACAAAAGAGACGTATCAGTCAGAGATGCTGCAAATAAATTGCTGCAGTGAATATCAAGATGCTGGTACAGTTAGAAAAGAAAGGTTGAATTTGGAGTTGAGAGATTCTGATAGATCAGTGGAGAAGCCAACAGTCTATAGCAGCACTATGTTTGGGAAAACTGTGGGAGAAGTTCAATCAGAGTGTGGTTTTCCAGGTTCAGAAATAGGAAATCGATGTCTAAATAGAGAGGCGGACTGGTGTGAAGAAAGAGAAGCCAAGAAAGGTGTTAAGAATGAGTCTGTTGATGTTAGAGAGAAAGAGGTGTCTGACCATGGATGTGTGATAAATAATACCGTGGATTTTGGAGATCGTGCTCTTCGTCGAAGTTTGAAGGATTCTGGATTAGAAGACATGAAGTCAGTTATTAAGGATTCGCAGGTATTTGTTATGGAAAAAGAAAATATCATACCACAGGAAAATAAATTCTTATTGGGTGCTGAAATGAATGGAGATATTTTCAAAGCAAAGCTTAGCGAGATGGAGGTACTTTGTAGAGAGAACGAAGACAAGAATGTTAAAAAATCTGAAGACGGAAAGACCAATGTTCTAGATCGTCTTGAAATGGACACTAAATCTCTGCAAAGTAACGTTTTTAAAAAAGAGGAAGAAAGATGTGCAAGTAGAAATATCTCAACAAGTCCTGACAAGGACTTGGAGCTCAATTTAACAAAGATAGTTAGTGAAGAACAGGATGATCTAGATTTTCAGTATCAGCTGGACTCAATAATTGAAGAACTGAAATTTGAGCTTGATGAAGTTGAGCGCAAGAAATTGGGAAGCTCTGATATTGTTGACATTGTTGATACTATTGAAGAAGGTAAAGAAGAGATTCAACAATATCCTCATACCAGCGATGACAAGAATAAGGGTAAGGCGAATGCTGCATCTAAAGATCTTTTGGTTCAGCGATTTAGCCTTGAGCCAATTAAAGAATACAATAGCAGCCAAGACAGGGATCCAATTATTAGTAAGATAGAGGAAAATAGCGATGTTAAACAACGAAATCTGGAAGAGACGGAACAGGAAGCATCAATATCATACAATGAGAACATTGAAAAATGTACATTTGAAAAAGTGCAGCAGTTTGAGGTATATGAAGCAACTAGCTTTCAAGAAACATGTGCTCAAAGTAATGACGACATTGCAAAATTCCAAACAGATCGTGCAGCAAACTGCGAAGGACAGTCATTAGTCAGGGAAATTGGTGATACGGGCAATCTTTCGGAGGCATCAGGCAAGAAAAGCAATGTAAATTTAAACGACTCAAGTTCGTTGTATCTTTTTGGTCATGAGAACAGGGAAATTGATCTAGTGGCCGATACAAAAGCTTTGGAACCTCTTAGAGAACTATTGTCTGAGAGTGACAGCTGTATGGAAGTTTCAAAAGCAGATGAAGGGAAGAGGAAGCCCGCATTTGAAGAAGTAATGAAGGGGCCTAGTGTTGATACTTGTGAATCGTCTTCAGAAAAGAGATGGCGAAGAAGAGCGTCTAAGTTGATGTTCACTTCAAGTGAAGAGGAAGAAACAGATGTTGCCGATGAGAATAAGAATGGTGAAGTCAGTGCTGAGGTAAAAAGAGGAAGTAAACAAGTAATTTTTGGGCATGATGACACAGAGACTGCTGTAAAAGGTATTCAACATTCAGATGGTGCAGAATCAATGATGGCATGTCATGAGGAATCAGGGAAAGATGGCGTTAGTAAAGATATATTATCTGATTGTTTTCAACTTAAAAGTCAAAGAGACAATGAATATCAAAAATATAGTGATACAGATGTTAAAGAAAAGGAAGGAATGACTGCAGAAATAGAGTCAGTCATTAATACAAAAGATATTGAGACAAGTGTTAAAGTACGCATGAGAGAACACAAGGTTGGAGAATCAAGCTTTAAAAGGGAGCCCGACTACAGACGTTGGAGTTGGAGAAGAAGAAAGTCGTTGTCTTTATCTCAAGATGACAGCCTTCGTTCTTCAATGAGTCTAGATGAAAACAGTGGCAGTGGACAGACTAATTCGAGTATAGACGACAACAGCTTGCCAATAATAGATCCAGAAAAGAGCAGTTACAATGAAGGCTTTTCTATAGAGGAAATCAAAGCAAGTCTGAAAGAAGAAACGGATTTATCGAAATGCATTACTGAGAATCAATATTTAAAAACAAAAGATTTGGAACATAGAACTATAGAAGTTGACGAAGGAAAGATCGAAGTGACAGAGGCAGAAGGGGGCAGTGTACTACTTGGATCTTCGCTCAAGGAAGCAAAAAAAAATCATTTCCTGACAGGGTTAGAAGGGCGTCTATGTTATATCCAAAACTTTCAACACGAAGTCGAAGGAAAAAAGGGTGATAGTTTTGATACTACAATATCTACCGCTACTAAAAGAACCAAAGAAATTGATGATTCTGAAGTGATACATCTGGAAGAATGCAGAAAACTAAAGACAGAAGACACTAAGATGTTATTTGCCGATAAGGGAGAAGATCATGTTGGTCATACTGAAGAATTTGAGAGTAATAGCTCTATCTTGTCCTTAAGAGGAAAAGATGACATTAAAAGCAAGAGTTCTGAAATGCCAAGTACTAAGGAATACAGACGAGAATCCAGGCTGTTACTTAGCGATGAAAAGGCAGAAAAAGACCAAGAAATTGAAAATAAAAAAAAGAATGGCATCGTATTGTCAGCATCTGCAGAGAAAGATAGCACTGAAAACGACAGTTCTGAGGTTTCAAGCTTGCGAGAATACAGAAAATCGTGGAGAAGACAATCAGGGTTATTAGATGACGATGAAAGGGCAGAGACAGGCAGTGAAACTAAAAGTGACCAAAGGAATAGCTTCAAATCACCAGCCTCTGCAGAAATTGAAAGCACTGAAAACGACAGTTCTGAGGTTTCAAGCTTGCAAGATTACAGAAGATCAAAAAGAAGACAATCGAAGTTGTTAGATGACGATGAAAGGACAGAGACAGGCAGTGGAACTGAAAGTGACCTAAAGAATAGCTTCAAATCACCAGCCTCTGCAGAACTAGAAAGCACAGAAAACGACAGTTATGAGGTTTCAAGCTTGCAAGAATACAGAAGATCAAAAAGAAGAGAATCGAAGTTGTTAGATGATGATGAAAGGGCAGAGACAGGCAGTGAAACTGAAAGTGACCAGAAGAACAGCCTCAAATTATCTGTTTCTGCAGAGAAAGATAGCACTGAAAACGACAGTTCTGAGGTTTCAAGCTTGCAAGAATACAGAAGATCAAAAAGAAGAGAATCGAAGTTGTTAGATGATGATGAGAGGGCAGAGACAGGCAGTGAAATTGAAAGTGACCAGAAGGATAGCTTCAAATTATCTGTTTATGCAGAGAAAGATATCATTGAAAACGAAAGTTCCGAGGCTTCAAGCTTGCAAGATTACAGAAGAGCAAGGAGGAGAGAATCGAAGTTGTTAGATGACGATGAAAGGGCAGAGACAGGCAGTGAAACTGAAAGTGACCAGAAGAACAGCTTCAAATTATCTGTTTCTGCAGAGAAAGATAGCACTGGAAACGACAGTTCTGAGGTTTCAAGCTTGCAAGATTACAGAAGATCAAAAAGAAGACAATCGAAGTTATTAGATGACGATGAAAGGGCAGAGACAGGCAGTGAAACTGAAAGTGACCAGAAGAACAGCTTCAAATTATCTGTTTCTGCAGAGAAAGATAGCACTGAAAACGACAGTTCTGAGGTTTCAAGCTTGCAAGATTACAGAAGAGCAAGGAGGAGAGAATCGAAGTTGTTAGATGACGATGAAAGAGCAGAGACAGGCAGTGAAACTGAAAGTGACCAGAAGAACAGCTTCAAGTTATCTGTTTCTGCAGAGAAAGATAGCACTGGAAACGACAGTTCTGAGGTTTCAAGCTTGCAAGATTACAGAAGAGCAAGGAGGAGAGAATCGAAGTTGTTAGATGACGATGAAAGGGCAGAGACAGGCAGTGAAACTGAAAGTGACCAGAAGAACAGCTTCAAATTATCTGTTTCTGTAGAGAAAGATAGCACTGGAAACGACAGTTCTGAGGTTTCAAGCTTGCAAGAATACAGAAGATCAAAAAGAAGACAATCGAAGTTGTTAGATGACGATGAAAGGGCAGAGACAGGCAGTGAAACTGAAAGTGACCAGAAGAACAGCTTCAAATTATCTGTTTCTGCAGAGAAAGATAGCACTGGAAACGACAGTTCTGAGGTTTCAAGCTTGCAAGATTACAGAAGAGCAAGGAGGAGAGAATCGAAGTTGTTAGATGACGATGAAAGGGCAGAGACAGGCAGTGAAACTGAAAGTGACCAGAAGAACAGCTTCAAATTATCTGTTTCTGCAAAAAAAGATATCATTGAAAACGAAAGTTCCGAGGCTTCAAGCTTGCAAGATTACAGAAGAGCAAGGAGGAGAGAATCGAAGTTGTTAGATGACGATGAAAGGGCAGAGACAGGCAGTGAAACTGAAAGTGACCAGAAGAACAGCCTCAAATTATCTGTTTCTGCAGAGAAAGATAGCACTGGAAACGACAGTTCTGAGGTTTCAAGCTTGCAAGAATACAGAAAATCAAAAAGAAGAGATTCGAAGTTGTTAGATGACGATGAAAGCGAAAAGAAAGTCAGTGGAACTGAAAGTGACCAAAAGAATAGCTACGAATTATCAGCATCTGCCAAGAAAGATATCATTGAAAACGACAGTTCTGAGGTTTCAAGCTTGCAAGAATACAGAAGATCAAAAAGAAGAGAATCGAAGTTGTTAGATGACGATGAAAGGGCAGAGACAGGCAGTGTAACTGAAAGTGACCAGAAGAATAGCTTCAAACTATCTGTTTATGCAGAGAAAGATATCATTGAAAACGAAATTTCCGAGGTTTCAAGCTTGAAAGATTACAGAAGAGCAAGGAGGAGAGAATCGAAGTTGTTAGATGACGATGAAAGGGCAGAGACAGGCAGTGAAACTGAAAGTGACCAGAAGAATAGCTTTAAACTATCTGTTTCTGCAGAGAAAGATAGCACTGGAAACGACAGTTCTGAGGTTTCAAGCTTGCAAGATTACAGAAGATCAAGGAGGAGAGAATCGAAGTTGTTAGATGACGATGAAAGGGCAGAGACAGGCAGTGAAACTGAAGGTGACCAGAAGAACAGCTTCAAATTATCTGTTTCTGCAGAGAAAGATAGCACTGAAAACGACAGTTCTGAGGTTTCAAGCTTGCAAGATTACAGAAGGTCAAGAAGGAGAGAATCGAAGTTGTTAGATGACGATGAAAGGGCAGAGACAGGCAGTGAAACTGGAAGTGACCTAAAGAATAGCTTCAAATTACCACCCTCTGCAAAGAAAGATGTCATTGAAAACGAAAGTTCTGAGGTTTCTAGTTTCCAAGAAAACGAAAGATCAAGAACGAGAAAATCAAAATTGTTACTTGACAATGAAAATGAAGGAAAGAGTGATGTAGTGGAAACTGTTCAGGGTAAAGGTGTTATTTTAGATTGGAAAGAAGAATATAGGAATGAAACGGTAAGTTCTGAAGCTGCATCAGTTAAAGATTATCGAAGCTCAAAAAGGAGAGAATTACAGTTGACACTTGATGAAGAAGGGGAAGAAAGAGCTGATATTTCAGAAGCTAGCAAAAATGTTACTCATAAAAATAGAGAACATCGAAGACTGTCAAAGTTGTCAAAGGTCGACGAAAACCGTGACACCCTTGATCCTACATTTGTTGAAGATACCAGTAACGATAAAATTGGTTTTGAGGTTGAATATTTAGGAGAATCAGATAGTCCAAAGAAAAATATGAATGAGATTTCAAAAGAGGAAAGATCAGAGGACATTGAAAGAGAGAGCAAAACCTTGAAGGAATATCGAGAAAAGAAGAAAAGAGGCTCAAGTTACTATGAAATTGATGTTGATAGTGAAAATAAAATTGATAGGGACTGTATGTTAGAAAATAAACACAAGAAAACTGACAACTCGAGCTTCGAAAATGGACACAACGATACTGTTGCTGCTGCTGCTTGTGGAGGAAAACAAGACGATGAAGATCCATTTGAAATTAAGGATGTTATAATAAACTATGTTCCCACAGATGGCTATTCAAACAGTATGTGGAAACTCGATACAGTATTAGAGTCTCCGATTGAGTATGAGGCTGCAGGAAGGCTTTCAAAGCAACCAAACAACCGTTCTTCAGATTTTGATGAAGTTGAATTGAAAATGAGAAAAGCTAAAGAAAGGGTGCGATCACTACTGAACAAAAACAGTGCAATTGAAGAGAGAATCGAATTTGGTGGCAGAGATGAAGATTATTGTGAGGACCAGCAATGGGAATATTTTCGGCAGCATAATAAACTTATACAACTTGCAGTATCAAAATTATGGCAAAAGGAAGGCTTTGATCCATCAAGACTTGTTAAGGACGACAAGTACGACCAATATTACAATTACCAATGGACTAAGAGGTAACGCATTATTAAATAAGTATTATTCGTAACTCAAGTTTTCTGTTATCCATTTTAAAGACCCATTTGCCAGGCTTTTTAGGAAGGGTACTCTCGTCAGCAAAAATGACTGCGTGTAACACTTTCGTTGGTCTTTGTGCTGATGGTATTTCATTTTTGCATAAGATATCTATATGTAAGGCCAAAAGATGAGTGAGAGTATTTTCAGCATATTCCACCCCCTGGCTACAATTTTTCTCATCCCTGCAGCCCTTTTTCATCAAATATTCTCGAAATAAGCGAGTTAGAAGTTTAGTAAACTAGATGTTCAAATTGATTTTTGACGCAACCATTTTGTAGCCTTTAGGCTTCAAGCTTCCTATTTCAAGCCTTTTGTTTTGCTAGAAAGTTCCCCATTCTGTAGAAATGTACCATTAGCGCTGCCCCATTTGTCCCATCTTTGTACTTCTTCTATGAAAACTTCATTATGGTTACCTTTTTTCCTGACAAATGTCATGGCATTCGCCAACTCCCTTAGTTAAAGCTAAGGTACTGGGCAAGTTACAAAGGTACTTTGCTTTTTTATTAAAAATCATTTTTAACTGTCGAGCAATTTTTGTGTTACTGATTAACTTAAAATAAACTTAAAGTTTCTTTTTCTTGTACTTTCATTATATGACTGTATAAAGAAAAATTGCAAGCGAAATTAGAAATTAGAGTTCTTTTGTATAAACATCGCTCAAATCTGTCATTTGAAATCTGACGAGAGCCCTTGTACCAAAAACAGTATTTTAGGAAATTTGTAAAGACATTCAAGAAAATTATTTGTCATTAATCGTTTATTACATCAGGCTATCCTTAAAATGTCCATATCGCATTTTTTTACTTAGAGCACATTTAAAGGTGCACATGACAACTTAAAGTTTGTTTGTTTTATGAACTTATTTGGTCTTTTTATACTTTTGTAATATTGTTTGAGCTAGTTTTGGAGAAACGCAAAATCTAGGCAAATAAATCTTGAAAATATTACAAATCTTGAAAATAATTCTTCTTTTCATGTAATTATTGTATGTACTTAAAAAAATTTGAAAAATTCAATATATGTAATAGCAAGATTTCACTAAATCTTTGTGGAAAATTTGGCATCATGCATTTCAAACCCCTGAAAAAGTAGGTTTTTAACATAAAAGTTATATATTGAATATTTAAGATATAGTTCTGAAAAGAGACAATGACAAAAACAATTATATGGAATGCCACACACGATTTGTTGCTAACATTACGAACGTGTTTATTTAAATGTGTTTATCTACAAGCTGTGTCACAAACATGAACGGTTTGCCAATTCTCAGAATACTACTCTCTAATATGTCTTGTGTAAATCTTTACGTCATTTTGAAAAGCTTTGACCCAGATCCCTATTGTCTTGTGGATACACACTTATGGTAAATAATAAAGACCCCCAATTATATCAAAAGTTATAGAAAAAGGCTATTGTATTTATCATATTATCTTTGTCTGCGAAAGATTAGAATGAAGATAAGTTAAGTCTCCTGTGTAGTAAGCATAGGTGAATCAAAGCATTTATAGTAACGTTCTTAGTTTCAATATTTTTTTACTAGCATTTTTACGTTAATTAATTTCATGTATTGTGTTCGTCTATGTACACGCCGTGTGGAGTGTGAGGGTACCCAATAGGTCCTTGATTCCTGAATTCTCGCTACGTTTTAAGCCCGACTCCCGAACATCAATTCCCGAATGTTATCGGTTCCCGAATCCCCCTCACAGAGTTCGCCAATTCCCAACTCCGAAAAATGACGATTCCCCCTTCCCCGAAAGCATATTGGGCCCCCTCGAGTGATAGATCATTGAAGTTATAACCGCATAATATAGCTCTAAATTATTCACAAAGTGGAATAAATGATGTGTTTTAGCTCGATCAAATAGCCGGATTTATCTGGTTTCATATAATAATATGGATGTGTTGCGTTCATCTAGAAAAGTTTTAAAATCAATCGTTGTTGATAATCTCAGCTTTTTTTTGAACCTGAACTCTCTTAATAGAATCCCTCCTTAAGTTGATTTTTCGACGATGTGTCTTGTAACAACTGGCAAAGCGAAGAATATCTTATTTAGCAAAATATCATAAAAAGCTGGCAAAAGGGTTTGTACACTAATATAGCCTCATATCTGCTACCGTGCCTACTATATTTGCAGTGTAAAGTTATGCTACCTTGCATGTGTAATTCTAATATGCCATGTGCTTATGATAATCACTTATGCGTCTCTGTGAATGTGTGCTAGAAATGGACATCCTGAACTTCTTGTTTTTTCTATATCAACGTCACAAAAACTCCAAATCTGAAACTTTGTGTTTAGTGTTAGTATCTGGTGTCAAATCCGTAGCTGTGGTATCTGTGAAAGACATTTTAGATCCTTTTCATAACGAGACTGCCTAATGAAGAATAGGTCTGCAGAATAGGAGAAACTGGAACAATCACCAACTGCCCTCTTCTAAGGTGGTAGTGAAAAATGAATCTCAGTTAACAAGACACATTCTTCAGGACTTCAGGAGACATTTATAGTAGCATCATACTCTGAGCAGTGCTTCAACTAGACAGCACTGCTCCTTTATTTCTTCGTCTCTGACATGGGCGAAATGGAAGGGAAATGTTTAGGGGGCTTAGTATGGCGCTTTCCGTTACACGATTGCTTTAATGAGGTAGAATTGCCCGATTGGAGACTAAAATGTCATAAGTTTTGCCTGATTCCCAGCCCTTTTGTCTCCCTCATCTCTATGGTCTCTTATATTTAGTTCACAGTACTCGCCGGGTTCCTGTGCTTATTAAATGTATCATCATAAGACATTTTTTCGTAGATTTAAATTAAGAAAATCGCGAATTTATGGTTACTGTACAAACAATGAAAACCAGTAATCGACTTAAACCTTTTTTCAATCAATAATGAGCAAAAGAAATTGCATACACGCAAGCAAGATGTTGACTTTCTACAAATGTTGAAGGTTTCTGTGCTGTGTTGCAGTTTAGTGTGACTTGGAGGCAACCGTTAGTCTGGAAGTGGAAAGAAGAAAAAATGAGCCAAGATGTCTACGGGTTTAGAAAAATTAGTCCTTTAATTCAAGCTACGATATGTTTGTAAGACAGCTGTTCAAAAGACCGAATTGTGTTCTACCACAATCTCATTTAAGAACAAAAATTATTTCTATGAATAAAGCAAATGGCAAATAAGTTGGTCTAATGTGTACCGATTGATGAGAATTGTAGTTCGGTTTTCGGAGCCGCGGAATTCGTTCCTCGATTATTAAGGAGGTCAATTGCTGATGGTACCTTCAAATGAAATATTAAGTGTGACTGTTTGTATTTTCCGAAGACAAACAGTCGTTTAGAAGCTCCTTGATTTGATTGGTTTTAATTATTAGCGCACTTTGACATTCTAAGCCACATAATGAATTTTTTATGATTAATAGCACCCCCGATGCCCGAAGGTTTTAGAAAAACAAGTAGCTACACCCCTAAGAAAGTCCCGTTTCTTGGAATGATCACGCAGCCCCTTGTGAAGGCCTTTTTGTACACACATTTTGCCAATCGCCCGAGTCCTGATCAAACAGGTTTGCTATGGCAGCTTTAAGGAATAAAGGATAGGAAATATTACCAAAACTGCTTAGTATGTGATATTTCATCAGGAAAACTTTCATAAAATAGGCTCCGTTCAAGGATCTCCGTGAATGGTTACATTCTCATGTCAAAGTGCGGCAAATATCCACACCAAGGCAGGGATGCCGGAGAGGAGGGTGCAGGGACAACCGTGCCTCTTGCCCTTTGATAGGAGGGGCAAGAGAAGCATAAGTGCTATTTTCACAAGTGTCCTTGACATTGGCCTTTTGTAATTATTAAAGAGATTCCTACGAAGTCCTGCCTTATTCATGAAAATATTTTGCAAAACTTGTTAAAATAGTTTGCTTATGGCAGCAGTTAACTCAATAACAAATGCCTACAGATCATCGATAAAATGACAGTTGCGTCTTGTCCAGATTCACCCAAAGGGAAGGGCTGTAATTCCCATTCAATTTTACCCTTTGCCTCTTGAAGAACAAAAGATACAGGAAGCATATCAAAAGATGGGGTGGCACATGTAAGCAAAAAGAAGCAAAGGAGCACCACCAAAGGAGCTTTATTTCTCTCCGATCCTTTTTTCTCCCCTTGCTCCATAGACAAAATATAGGCATTATGGGGTAACAAATTTTCCAGTTTACAAATCCAAGACAACTAACCGAACTATTTTTGTTCTGTTAGTTCCAGTTCAGGTTCTTATCTGCATGAACCCAGTTTATCGACCTTTCTAGGCCTGCAACTAAATAAAATAAGGTCTCATTGATAGAATTAATTTTCTTTATGAACAATAAGACAGAATTTTTTTAGCATTGGGGCTGGGCTTTTTTGGTCGCATCCATTCTGATATTTTGACAAGTTCTTTGTGTTTATTATTTCTTTAAAATTATTATTGAGTCGATATATTCTCCCGAACATGACGTACTAGTATCATCTGCGGTCTGCTGACCTGTTTGTTGTCCTTTGCGGAAGAACTTTTTAGAAGATTGGCGATATTGTTATCGAAACTGTGGGCTGAGCGAAGTTTCGTATATGAATTGAAATTGAATTGAAGATGAGGAAATTGCAGCCTTTGTTAGAAAATGTTTTTTAATTGAGTTATAGTAATGTTTGTCCATGTTTATGATTTAATCATTATTTTATCAACAATGATCTAATGCGCTCCTAGTTTGAATGGAATCTTAGTGAAATCATCAAGAATTGCGGAGAAATTAAAGTCTTTTGCTAAAGTTTTAGACTTTTTTAAATTTTAAAGCATGTTTTCCAAAGAGTTAGTTGTCTCTGTTTTTGAAACATTTGGGCTTTGTGTTCACACGATATGCCGAGCTTTCATTCACCTCTCTGTTGACAGTGGATGTGGGCCGGGCTTTTGAGAACAATGTGAGTTCTTTGCTCTTTTCAAAATGCCCAGATGGAATAGAAAGGGTTAACAAACAGAATAAATACATAAACCAATTACCTTGAGCATTGGGTTTTAAATTGCGACGACAAAAGGATCTTCGCGACGATTGTTTAAGCATAATTTCTCAACACACTTCCTGTTACAATGACATAGCTGGGATAGATTCTAGAGAACATTCACACCTGTTCTGATTATTCTACAGAGAAGCAAAGAAACTTGAGTGCTACGCTCACAGATTAAACTACACGGGTGGGAATATTGCACAGGCATAGTTTCTAGACGCAAAGGTCCCAGCAAGAAGCTTTTCGGACGCTATCCATAGTTTGCAGATTCGAGAAGTGGCGATATCAGTAGGTGGATTGGGCGAGCCGATCGCTTGTGTATAGTTAATTGGATATTCCAAGCACGGGCAGTAGTGCAGATCCGGGTGAGGCTTCTACAGGCCCGGTGAACGTGTTCCACTGAAGTCGATTCGATTGTTATTCAAACGAAGGCCAGAGACAGGAACAAAACAAGGATTGCTGCAGGCAAGGGAAGCTTGAATGATTTTTGGTCTCACTTTCAGAATTCAGCTGCAAAAAAGCGAGACCGTGGCGTAAAAATCAGTGTAGGTAATTTGCTTCATAACGAGCTTTTACTATCATCTTTCTATGTTAAGCTTCAGGGTATGATTATACTGTCTTGTGGATGTGCTGTCATCTTTAGTCTCACTTCAGACAACTTCGTGTTGTCAAATCAGACATATTTCGTTATAGCTCATTTGGAAATGAAGTGTACTTCAAGTCTACTGCAAGTTCAAATCAGAAAAGCTAATTTGCTGTAAGATATAGGCAAGAACTTTTCTAGAGTATATTCTACTATTCTTTAAGAAAATGTTTTTAAATCTCAAGGTTATTCTGCCTGTTAGCAGAAAGATACCGCACTAGTCGATATGCACCACTGCATGGCTAGGAGACACCAAAGGCAAATCTGGGAAACATTTTCAAATACAACTTTAGGAGAGCTCGTGGATTGCCCCCATTTCAATCGCAATGCATTCAAAAATTACTCAAAGCCAAAGAAATGTCTAGGTTTTTCCCGCACATCCCTGAAACATCATACCCATTTTTCCAAAATCGACAAACATATTTTCTTATGTCTAAGCATCTGCAAAGCTTTTGTTACAGTATTAGGTCTATTTTATGTTACCTGCTTAAGCTGTTAGTTAAATACATTTTAAATAAGCTTATCGCCAGTTATTTCAAATATCCTGTGTTTGCTGCTAGACTTGAATGGGAACTTTCTTTCCTTCGCAAATAAAAGTTTTTTCAGCAAATACGATTAAATGGAAACAAACTCCATGGAGAAAGGTGTTTAGTGTAACTTCTTTTAAAGAGGCGACGCGGAAAATCTCTCTTTCTTTTTGACAATTTATTTACATACTGTGTTTGTAAATCCTTTGATGTTTAAATTTTGCAAGTCCTTTGAACACATTACCAGAAAGAATGCACGGCCAATTTAATCTGGTGTATCATGTTAATCTAAACTAATAGATAATTTTTGTGCACATTATTTCCAAAAGCTATACTTGTCATCAACTTTACTTATGAAGCGGGGGCCATCTTGTTAGGCCTTTCTGTTTAAATTCATTGCTAAGAGACTTGTGTCTATATGCACTTTTATGTGCAGTGTTTCCTAAAACAAGCTATACCCTGCCTAGCTAAAACAACATATCCCATGGCATTAAACAACATACCCCATGGCATCAAACAACGTTAGGGTCATTTGACTTCATTCTGTATGCAACTGATGCTTTGTGCATAAGCATTTCTGCGAAAATTGGTATGGGCTGCAGCTGTGCAATTAGATAGCATAAAAATACGATCAAAACAATAGATGAATAATAATGGGCTTAGAATCTGAAGAGCAGTTTTGAAATATTCCGAAGGTTTCAAAAGGATCAGTGCGTGGTAGGAGTGTTAGAAATTTACATCCAAATGGTGCTCTTTCTAAAGAATGACGCAAGAATGTGTGAAAAATGTCCTGAGCTGAATTTCTCATTAAATGTTAATTGTAATGGTGTGGCGAATTTTATCGAACATTCAAACCATATGCTCGAAAATTGCTTCTCTAAGACTCACCAGTCGATGAACATCAAACAGATTAAGCTGGCGTAAAGTTTTGCTTTAATCGCAATTAAAATAAAAGGATTAAGGTTGGCCTTTGTTGCATTTCACTTTGTTTTTTAAAGAAGCCGGCAAATGCCATAAAGCATCAGTTCCTTTGTCTTGATAAAAGCTTAGAAGTTTTTAAAGGCTTTTTGTGTCCTAAAAACAAACCTAATGTGTTGTTTGTTGGAGTTGTCTCTCATTTTTATCTCTCTATTGACTTCAATAAAAACGGAAGAATCAGAAAGGACTTTTCTCTAGACTTGTCATTGCATCCAATTCACAATGGTTCTGTGCACAAGATTACTAGTCCAATCTTTGCTGTATCTGCTTCATTCAAAAATCATTCATTGGGTACTAATTGAAATATATTTAATCAAAGAGTTTTTGTCGGTTAGCATCAGGTTGTCTTAGTTACTACAGTCAATGTAGCCGCTCTCTAGTTGTTATGGATTTGGGTAAATGGGGCCCAGAGGCTTAAAAAATGCTTTAAAAAATCTATACCCGCCAGAGTGTATTTTGTGTACTTTGGCCCAAAGATCTTAGGCATGGAATAGCACAAAGTCAGTGGCCGTGAGCAAATGATTATTCTCGGTGCACCTCTAGTGTAGGGTTCTAATTTAGAATAGTTTTTTGAAATAATTAATTCAGAAACCATATTTTTAGGATTTCTAGAATTTGGTTTTAGAAGATAATTTAATTCCTTTGTTACTAAGCATACATTTTATGTTTTTAGATCAGTGAAAACTCAAGACAAAATGCCTCGTGATGAGCTAGAGGTCCCCAGTGACTATGGTAATGGAAGTGGGCGTTTAAGCCGTGGCAGCTCATCCCAAAACATCTTCACTAAAACTATGGCCGATCCAGCTTTGGAAATGATGCAGAGGCGAATAGATGATTTGGATTACGGTTTCAAACAACTAGACAGAATTACAGACGAGATTGACTATGACATTGAAACAGTCGAAAGTATGTTGATCGTGAACCATCTATATGCATAATGTATTAATCGATAGTCTACAATTTTTGATCTGCCTCTTTTGGGTGGTTTTGTAAACAAGTTGTGATTACCACGTTGGATTTATTGCTGCTTCTTGAGAGAAAGTAGAAACGGAAAACGGAAGTAGCTCGTATGAAAATCTACAGGCTATTTTATTAAAAGTTTGCAATAAAAGTGGCTTAAGCCATCAATTAGCGTGTGAGTATAATTTATCTCACGTGAACACTCATTGATGTTTGGTCCATTTTTTTAGTGAATGCTGCCCCCCCAACCCCCCGGTTCCTGCCTAAGCTCTTCAAGTATCTGTCAATTTCCATTAAAACAGCCGAAACATTGCAATTGAAAATGGAATGATCAGCGCAAAGATTGAAAAATTTTTGAATGATTACAATGATGATTGGCAACCCATGGCTGTATTAGCGATTTTATCTGTTCTCATTATTCTGCCAAGGTCCAGCTGAATAGTTTTCTTAAAGCTTTATCTAAGATAGAAGGTTATCTGACTAGGTTTCCTTGCTGAATATAAAAGGGTTTGTGCAAAGGAAAGTTACACGAAATAATAATAACAAATCGTTGATGTGTTGTCATAGTGTTTTTAACGAATTGCATATGCTTTTCGTTTTGTTAATGTCCGAAAAACACTTGATTTTTTTAGTTGCACCTGCAGGGAGAGGTATTTCTTGCTTGTTCAATTTGCTATTAAATTGGGGTATGGGCTATGATGCTCTGCCACTGGATTACACCCTTGATTCATCTTTACCTTTTTCGCTGTTGCAAATGCATGCTTTGCTTCTTGCACAAGCTCTTTAATATCAATCATATTTTAAAATTTGAACGAATTTTTGGTGGTACAAATTTGAAAATTGCTTTAATAAAAGCGAGCATTTTACAGCATGTAGCGAGCATTTTGTCAGACTTCAAAGTTTTTAAGTCTGACAGTCCTCAGAGTATAAAGCGTCAGAATAACATTCCAAAAGGACAAGATAGAAAAGTTTCATATTTCAAAGTAATATCAATAATATATTTTTCCATATATTTAATTTCTGTTACCAGATACAACAAAGCGTCTTCGCACTGGATTCGATAACATGCAGATGGATATGCAGGGCATGCGGGATGATTTGCTTGATCTTTTCGACCGCCTTGATGCTATCGATCGTGGCACAAAAGACAGATTAAAAGGAAAGTTTCCAAGCATGGAGTCTGGTAGAAGAAGTTATATGGGGTCCCGTCAGTTTCTGTCTTCAAGTACAGATCTGCGAGGGTCATCCTACGCTTTGTCCAGCCATGACAGAAGGTGAGTCTTGTCGAAGATAACTTTGCTAATGGATGTTGATGAAACTTTTTTAAAGAGATTTGAATCCCAATAAAGCTGCTTTCATTTTGTAACTACCCATAGCCATAACAATATCTTCAGGGCTGACGCAAAAAGCAAAAGCTCAAAATGCTGATGTTTATATAAGGCTGACAAAGGATGCCCCATGGACGTAGAAACCGGGGGCATAAGGGGCACGTGTCCCCATTTTAGTTTAAATAAACTAAAGTACACAAAATGAATAAAAAACGAAGGGTAGTCCTTTGTGAAAAGAACATAATGCTGCGTGGTGCTGTATCATGAATACGGGGCATTGGTGACAAAGGGGATTTCCTAAGTCGCTACGTAAAGCGAAGCGAAATTGCTTAATATACAAATGCTTAGATATAACGGTATTACTGTGCCTCCCACCTACCTTTGAAGTGATTTCAACTTATGTGGGATGCTTCCATCTGCTGATAGAAAAATATAAAATGAAATCGTCGTATTTCTAATTAAAAGTGTTTAGGAAGGTATCCTTAGTGGTACCCCCAAGACCGCTAGTCATTAGAGTTTTATATCAATATACTTTGACAAGTTAGATGATAGTTCATCGGTCCATGATGTACCTAAATTATTAGGGAACCCGAGGGGGATGTGCTGCTAATATAGGGGGGGGGGGCTACCCGAGATCTTATAAGTATTCTTACTGGTGCTGTTTCGTATTAGATTACTGTTGCTGTCACAGTTTACATTATTATATTTCGTAATTTTTTGTTTTCATTCAGAAGCAGCCAGAGTTCAACACCGTCAGCTACCGCTGCCAGTAGAACGTTGAAAGCCCCCTACTTGGAAACACCACCCTTCACTCCGGCCTCAGATAGGTCTTCGAGCCCTGTGGATGGAGGTCGGGACGATAGGTATGATGAAGATCTCTATGCAGAGAAAGACAGAGGAAGGAAGAAAGGCAGTAAGCAAATCCGCGAGGACGATTATTATGAAGGAGACAATTATGAAGAGGATCGGCTTTCTGAAAAACAGAACTCTAAAGATTCAGCGAAGAAGAGCAAAGCAGATGATCGATATGATGATGATCAATATGATGATGAGATAAATGAAGAGGAGGCTCGACGTGGTAAAGAAAAGAGCAAGAATAAACGTGTAGAAGATGAGAGATATGATGATGACGATGAGTATGAAGATGAGATCTATGAAAAGGAGCTTAAGCAAAAAGAAAGCAAGAAGAGGAATGGAAACTTGAAAGAAGAGAGATACGAAGATGATCTGTATGAAGATGAACTATACACAGAAGAGCAGAAAAAATCGAAGAACAAAAAGAATCGTCCAGTTGATGATGACCGGTATGAAGATGAGCTTCATGAAGATGAGCTGTACGAAGAAGAACTCCAGAAAGAGAAGAGCAAAAGGAAGAATGACCGTTATGAGGAAGACGATTATGAAGACGAGTTGTACGAAAAAGAAAGACAAAGTAAAGTGGAAAAGAAAGTAAATGGTCATATTGATGATGTCGAGTATGAAAATGATAGTTATGAAGATGAAATCCAGGAAGAACGTCGCAGGAGCAAAAAGAAGAATGAACTCAAAGAAGATGAAAGATATGAGGCGGAAAAAGCAGGAAGACGGAAGAATCAAAGCGGAGAGAAATATGATCGTTATGATGATGACGAGTTGTACGACGAAGATTATTCTGAAGATGAGTTAGAAGAAAGAAGGATTCAGAAGCAGAAAAAGCTAAACAAGGCTAATTCTGTTGATGACGATCAGTTCGAGGATGATGAATACGAGGATGATGAATTTTTGGATAAAGGAACAAGGAAAAAGACAAACGTTCGAGTACGAGATGACAAGTATGATGATTATGATGATGATCGCTATGAAGATGATGAATATGAAGATACAAGGAAGAAATCTAATCGTCGTGATGATAGATATGAAGATGATGAAGATGAGGATGATCTTCGTGAAGAAACAGGGAAGAAACCAAGTCGTCGTGTTGATCGATATGAAGATGATGAATATGAGGATGATCTTCGTGAAGAAACAGGGAAGAAACCAAGTCGTCGTGTTGATCGATATGAAGATGATGAAGATGAGGATGATCTTCGTGAAGAAACAGGGAAGAAACCAAGTCGTCGTGTTGATCGATATGAAGATGATGAATATGAGGATGATCTTCGTGAAGAAACAGGGAAGAAACCAAGTCGTCGTGTTGATCGATATGAAGATGATGAAGATGAGGACGATCTTCGTGAAGAAACAGGGAAGAAACCAAGTCGTCGTGTTGATCGATATGAAGATGATGAATATGAGGATGATCTTCGCGAAGAAACAGGGAAGAAACCAAGTCGTCGTGTTGATCGACATGAAGATAAGCTTTATGAAGATGAATATTCCGACGATGAAGAATATGAAGAAGAACTCCGCCGTCGAAGGAATCGAAAGAAAGTACCTGTAGATGATGACGACTACCTCAGCCCAGAAGAAAATTGATTCAACGTTAATTGCGTTCGTCTTTCCAAAGCAATCGATAAACTCAAATGACTATAGAGAACGAGGAAAATATAAGAGAAACAATAAATGCCAGATAAATGTTGCTTTTGCAATAATGTACTTTAAAAATTTATTGAACAATGTATTCTAAACGGGCCATACATCTAAGAAGCTATTTTCTAGAGATGCAACCATGTGTGAAAAACTCATGTGTAATGTATGTGACAAAATATTACAGTTTTTAATTCTTTGAGACGATATTTGTTTAATCCTGCTTTTAAATGTATCTAGTCATTTTTACTGTTTTTATTGAAAATGCTTTCCATTACTTTTTATTGTAATATTGTTATCTGAAATTATAAATTTTGCTTCAACCTGAATTTTCGCTTGCATTCTGCTCCCTTCATTTGCATTCGATTTTATCGGTAGAAGATATGATTGTGTCTAAATTTAGATTTAGGCCAAAGAGTCCTTAAATCGTCTCTCACTGTCATCCTTGGAAATAACAATTTTGCACCCAGAATACATTATAGGCCTTCTCCAAAACAAATGTATTGTGGTAAACAATTATTAATATTGCCTAGAAAATAACTAAACAATTCGCTACATCATTTATGGCGCAACAATCCATATTTATCTATAACAGCTATTTAGCATTGAGGAACTACAAGTTTTGTGGTTAATAGCAAAAAATTGTAATAAAATCGTGTTTACCTAGTATGTCTATTTTAAACTGGTAATCGTAAAACTTTAAGATTTATATAAATGTATATATATTTATAGAGATTCAACCGATCTGGACTTGTGATAGAACCCAGTCTACTTATCCATCCTACCATTCGAATATTGTTCGAGTTGTTGAGATCATTGATTCTGTGTTCTTTGTTCAGTTTAGTAACTTTTGTTCCCTAAGAGATCCCTGGTGTTCGCTGGTCTGTCCATGTGGCCTCTTCTGTTCTTATTTTTAATAATCATGCAAGTTTTTACATTGGATATTCTATAATATATCGTAAAATTACTGCATCGTTGATTCAAATAATTAAATTATAAAAGGAAAGAAGAACAATTTAGTGAAACTAATGCAAACATGCCTCGTAATCATAGTGAGACTGATTGAACGGAGCGGTCGCCATTTTGTTTCAAATTACAAACACTGCGTGTCGTGAAGCTTGCTTTCACGGGAAACTGGCTGCTTGAAGCTTACTCAAAAGCAGTTATTATAGTGCCAAATGTTTAAGTGATTGTCAAAGAAAAATATTTTATCTTTGCACAAGACCCAGATGAACGTCGTAGGTTGAAAGTTGCATTAGATTATCGATCAACAGCAACGGGCCTAAGCCAATATCACTATTTCTGGAAGGCAACTTGTTGATTCAAAAGAAGTAGCAAGATGGAACCCGTTCGTATGGCAAGTGATTTTAAGCTTCCAAGAATTGGAAGAAGGCCAATTCAGTCAACTGCTGGAGCTGTAACTGTCAGAGGGGAAAAAGGTTGGAATTTTGCGTTATTATGGTGTGGCGATTTATTTAAGCAATATTTTAAATAATTATCAACGGGCATGAAACCATTCTCGCTAAAAATGCTGGAAATATCCTTTCACAAGTTAGGAATAATGGTAAAAGATGTTGCATTAGCCACCTCACATGTCATTATTATTAAAGCAATGTTTTCATCATTGTTTAGGCCTATTTCTTGAATTCTATTCCATTTTTTATTTAATTTAACCATGTTTATGAATGCAAATTTCTCCAATAGTTATAAACTGAATTATTTTAGCATGACTTGATTGAAAGACTTTTTTAGCTATTTCCAAAATTCAACACTAAAATTTTCTTAACAATTTCTTAACATAGAATGGGAAAGTTTTACCCAACTGAACATGCGCTATGATGATGGAGAAGATGAAATGCTATGAATATGCTATTTGTAGCTATATTACTCAAAAGAACTTTCAATGTCATGACATCAACTACCAAAGAGAGCCCAATTCTATACAGACACCTCTTGGCACCTTATTGTCAAAAAAGGAAATATTTCACTCTTGTAAATTTCTCAACTTACTAGGTTTCAAAGGTCCAGTCCCGAACTTTCTTATCTTTTTGAAGAACCAAGCATTCATAAAAAATGTGAATATGAAAATGTGTATTACATATATTAAAATGCTTTAGAGGTGTAAACACAATCTTTTTTTATGTCATTCTATGCCATTCTATGTTAACATAGATGAGAAACCAGTCCTTATCACTGATATGTTCTCACAACAGAAGAAGACAGCCTGTGTTGTTAATTGTGTGTAAAGGGATGCCTTCTAAACTATATAAGGGAAATAGAAAGTCACTTTTAGCCTTAAGAACATTTTAAGACACATCTCTGTCTGTGATTTTATAATGGCTATGGTTTCCAAGGTATGATTTTTCAGTTTCTAAACAATGTTTTTTGAGTTCAAATGAAATTTAAAATGAAGAATAAGGTCAACATTTAAGCATTTATGACTTAGAAAGTGCCTTGCCACAGAGCTAGGAAGGATGACTCCCCATAGGCAAACTTGAGTTTTGTGTAATTGACTTGTCTTTCTGAGGCTTAAATTACTAATATTCATTGGATGTTTCAACAGCTAATCATTCATTTTCTTTCTGAGGCTGATCTTACTATTGATTAATAGGGATTATAAGGTGCAAGTGTAGGCTTTGTTGGGGCTATCTATAATGTGTATTTTTTGTTTCCCAGGTGAAATAATAGTTGAGAAAGTCCCCGTTAAAAGATATGTTGCTGGTAAAAGGTAAGTCAAAGGGTTAGCTTTCAGTTAGCCCCATAAACAAATTAGACCATATCAAATTGCAATGATGAAACAGTAAATTTTTGAAAAAAATAAACTACCTTTAAATAACTGTTTTTGGGTTCTTTCAAAGGTACATCACATTATCAACAGTTAATACTTAAGAGGTTTTTAAATGTATCAGTTGAATATTGTTTGAAAAATTAGCAAGCATAAAAAAATTTAGGTAGTCAGTGGTAATTAAGTGAGTGGCCTGGGGATTCTCTTAGTACTATAACTGCAAAACTTTGATCTGCTTTGCTGTCATTAGTAAAGGCTCATACCAAACTTACTGCCCACTGTTTGACTATAATTTCACCAGTATTAGGTTACCACAGTCTTCTCCCCAGCTAGTGATAACTTCAACTGATACCTTTGTTTGATATTGATTGTGGCAGAAATGAGGTAATACTATAAAATAATAAAACATTATATAATAGTATAATTTATTTCAATAATATAAAACAACCACCAAACAGTACAATATGATACAGTTGATAGATTTCTATTATTATTATACAATAAAATTAAATTAAATGTCAGAAAAATCTTATTTTTAGTAGCGCTATGGGTAAAATCTTTTAAAATTACTAATAAGCTTTTTGGGCAGTAATGATTTTTTTTACTTCAGGATAAGAAAATATCAAATCCATCAAATCATCATCACACCAGTTTTAATCCAGGGATTTCTACTTTGCAGTGGATGGCCAGATGTACTTATGTCCTATAGCAATTTTTGAATGTCCTAAAACTTTCAATTTTGAACGGCTTTTCGTATCTTCTTTCACCAAACCAACCTTCTTCATCTCTTCTTCCACCTGGCCCTTCCTCTTTGACAATTTACCTTGAAGTCCAACACCTTCCTCAAGATGTTATCTTCTGGTTTTTTAAGTTTTAAGTGTCCCAACCAACTCACTCCATTAGCTTTTACCATCTTATCAACTTTTTCCATCAAACAGGCCTTCCTGGTGCTGGTACACACCTCCCCACACCCAGGAGTGTGTTTAATCGCACACCTACTTTTGAACGTCAGACATCCATCATTCTAAGGAACTGCAGTTTTTATATGAAAGCCTTTGCCAATGGCTCCATGCTGGAAAGCTCGCTTTCTGTATGCTATTGGTTTTACGCCAGTTATTCCAGTGTCAAGTTCTACCACCAGCTGGGTTAGAAATAAACACAACACAATGCTAAACAACACTCCACATATGGGCTTGGGCAATATGGCATATTTGTCTGATGAGGATGTCCCATTCTTCAACAAATTATTCAATGTTGTATCATTTTCATATGAAGATGGAAAGAAAATGCCATTTGGAAAACAGCGGGTTGTGACAAAGGCATGAAATTTCCAAGGGTTAAATATACAAACAGAATGATAGCACTCTGGATTCAAAGAGAGGGAAATTTGCAATAGAATTGTTCCGTTTCAAGCAATTGCACTGAAATGTTTCATGTTGTTTTAAAATCATGAACATTTTTCAAAAATTTAAAAATTTTTTTTCAAGGGTTTCATGAAGACTGCTACTATGATTGGTGGCAAGAGGGAGTACTGGAAGCTGCATCTAAAACATTTTCAGCATCAAATTTAGTAAAAATCCCTGATAATATTCATAAGCTTTTCTATATTGTTATGCCACTAGAGATACTTACTGCTAAAGTAGTGTGCAAACTGAAAAAAATGATTTAAGAATGGGGGTTTTTGAAGACTCCATAAGCTATGTAATTAAACCTTTGTAGAAATAAGACAAAACAACAATAGCACTCCATCACACACCTAAAACAGTCTAGGAGTGTGAAATGCCATTCTTGTGCCAATTTATTCCCAGGAGGGCTTGATCAAGCCAAGCATATTTAACAGCTTCTCTCTGTTCTTCTTATCAGCCAGCTTCCTCCCACAAATTGCTCTCACCATGGCATATTCTGTCCTTTCCAAAATTGTAGACAAAATGTTTCGCTCCCTCATAACATTCCAGTTCTCGCAAATCTTCTGTATATTCTGCCTTTTATCTTCATAGAGAAGCTTTCTTCTGACCAATAATTCACCATATCCATTGAATATTTCCTATTCATATCAAACTCTCACAGTCACAGCCACTTCAAAACCTTTACTGGACTTCAATCTGTCACCTAAATCACAGAAATTATAACCAAGTTAAAATATCAAATAAAATGTGTATCTTGTAAAGTATGAAAATATCAGATTATATAAAATGTCTTGAAAAGCATAATTTTTAAATTTGAAGACTGAATTTTAATTGGACATGTTTTATTAAGAATTAAGCTTAGAAAAGTCACGTCTTTTGACGTCTCTGAACATTATAACATATATTCCAATGGCGTCCAATGTGGAACGGGCTCAAGTATTTACCGTTTATATATATGTTGTATTTTACTAATGTATTATTATAATCTAGAATATGTATATGTAGTATTAAAGATGTATAATTAGTTATATTTAGATACATGTCATATCCCAGGGGGCAGTCATGTTATATTGCTCCTCCTGGGTTCCATCCTTGTAATGTAGTTTAGTATTCGTACGTACTGTTATAGGTAATTTGTTGTTGTAAGTTTTTATACCGAATATATATATATAAAAAAAGAAAAATTAAGATACAGTATCGTAGCAGATTTACACAATACTGTAAATTTTCTGAAGTATGCTGAATAAATTTATTTGTTAAGATTAGATGCATTGCCTGTTTTCTTAACATTTTTGTTAATGCATCTTACAATATTAAATTAATGCAACTTTTCTTATTTTTTTCAATAGGCCTGATTATGCACCTTCCGAGTCAAGTGATGAAGAAAGTGAGGATGAGAATCAGAATGATATAGAACCAGATAGCCCTGAACAGGTAGATATGGAATTTAAATCTTTTTTTCAAGTTGCTGTGCCAAAGGTTATAGGGTGTGAATTGCAATCACTTGCAGAGGTGGCACCAGAAATCTGCCGACAGAGGGGTTGGAGCTTCCGACAGGGGGGCTAAAATGACTAAAATAAGCAGTTTTTGTACTTTATTTTGTCAAATTTGCTCCGACAATAACCTAAAATTTCCTCCGATGAGGGGGGCTAGATGATTCTAACAGAGGGGCTGTAGCCCCCCTAGCCCTCCCCTGGCGCCACCACTGACCATTTGTCAATATTTGCTAAACCTTATTCACATGAAGATAGAGAGATGTTATTGGATATAAGCAGATCATATTTTTAATGTTTGCAAGCTCATCGAACAGCATGTGCAATTATCTACATTCATTTCTTGAGGTTTTAGCACTGAAATGTTAAGGTAACTAAAAATGATGGTACTTAAAATGAAAAGGCATTTTCTCAAAAATTTGGCCAGATCCCCTTTTTTAATGTTAGCAAAAAATTCTTTGAAAATGGATTAATTTCCAGATTTAATCCTAAAATCTTTGCCTGGAAATTATCTGTGTATATATCAAGAAGAATTATAATTAAAAAATTTGCTGCCTGTGTTCTGTTTATCTTTTTAAAAAAAGCCAGTGAACCAAGACTAAGGCCTTGTAATTTTTTATCTGTAATTTAGTAAGTACTCTCAATTTTTCTTTCCTAATCTGCATTCTTTGTTCGACAGTTTCATTCCATTTTTAATTCTATGCCAAAAACAAACATTTTTGTATTTCAGATATAAGAATTAATATAATTTTCTAAATACTTGCAATTTTATGTCTTTTTTAAAGATAAGAGTCGAAGACATAGAGAATGAAGATGATCATTTGGAAAGGTAATTTGATGGTTGTCATCAATTACAGTGTTTGAATTAAGTTTAAATGCATTAATTGTTTGTTAAATCTAATAGGATTGTGAACCAGTAACAATCAGCTGATAACATACAGCAGTTTTTTAATAAATGATATCAAATCCTATCACAGATATTTTCAGAAGATTTCAGAAGAATTATTTCTTTTCTAGCCCTCAAAATTATGATACTGAAAACTTGTCCCATTACAAAACTGTTTAGTAGATAAGCTTAAAATGTACTCATATTTGTTTAGAATAAGACTTTAGATAAGCAAATTACTGCGATTTGTGTTTTAATAATGATTTAACCAAGCAGCAAATAGTTTAAGAAAGGTCTATGTTTGTTTTTCTCAGTTTTGTTGAAATTGTCGATGAGCAAAATATTTCCCTTCATTACAAACTTTCCCAAGAAGTTGACAATTTGGTTGGACAAATTGTCTCATGGCCTGAAATTTATCAAGTTTTCTACATGTCTGATAGTTTTTACTCATTTTATTGTCTTTAACTTTGACTTAGAAATTCGTTTGAGAAACAAAAGGAATTTTAAAGTCTATATCTTTACTTCACTATTAACCTGTCACAGTTTATATACTGTACTTTGTGTTTTTCTAACTTTCTTTCTTTCTTTCTTTCTTTCTTTCTTTCTTTCTTTCTTTCTTTCTTTCTTTCTTTCTTTCTTTCTTTCTTTCTTTCTTTCTTTCTTTCTTTCTTTCTTTCTTTCTTTCTTTCTTTCTTTCTTTCTTTCTTTCTTTCTTTCTTTCTTTCTTTCTTTCTTTCTTTCTTTCTTTCTTTCTTTCTTTCTTTCTTTCTTTCTTTCTTTCTTTCTTTCTTTCTTATTTTTGTTAAAACATTGTTCAAGTGTCTCAGCTAGGATGGGCTCATAGTATATCTTATAAAGTTCTGTGGTCATATTGCAGAGTCAGAGAGGATCATGGTCATCGTATTCATGAGCCAGAAGTCATTTCGATGGAAGAAGAGTCAAAAGAGGTTGACAAATGCAACTTTTAATGTTTTTTGTGTTTAGATTCAAGTTATACTAATCATTAATCAGATCTTTATTAAATTGAAGTCAACTTCCAACTGACTATTGTCTATTCTAACTTGTATAAGTTGATGGTTGACTTCTTGCTGTATGATCAACAAAGTATGCAATTATTTTTCTTTTCTTGTCGATACCTGTAAACATGATCTAGTCAACAGTTAAATATTCTTATTTGCAAATATGAAGGAAGCAGTGTCAAAAAATTAACAATTCGAAGTGTTAAGTATCAACTAAAGAAAAAACTTTCCACTGTCATACAGAAATTTTCTGTCCATATTAAAGTCTTTCTTCGTCTTTAGGACTTTGGTCATAGAAGAAGAGAAGCTGTTGAGGAGAGCAGGTTCATATTGCCTATCTTTTTAGAAAAAATTAATTTATAAATTGAACTTGCAAGCTATCAGTATTAAACTCAAGGAAGCCATCAGTATAAAACTTTCTGCTCCCCTCCACCAGCTGTGTTTAAAGGATGTGGAAATATTTTGTCTCCTATTACAGAAGTCACTCTAGATGAACTTTCTAGATAGACATTCTAAATAAATTTCCGTTTTCTTACTTGAACCCTCTCCGGAGTTAATGATCGCCAGGCAGTCAAAAACAAGAAACTTATCAAAACACACCATTCTTGCTCTCACGCTCTTACTTTTGATCCACACCTTGTTGTAAATCTCTCCTTACCTTTTCTGTCTTTTATCGATATTCATACTCTAAGGATTTCTGACTAATTATCTTAAATACCAGGCCGAATAATTCCTTTTCTTCTTGCCGCTTTCAAATTTTGTACTACGCAAGGCTTATTCGTCTATTCTAAATGTTTAGTTTCACTTTCACAAGCTGCTGTTAAAATGTTATGATTTATTATGTTTCCTGAATATTTCCTGTATAGTATTCAGTAATTTTAATGATTCCTTTAAAATCGAAAGATTTGTTTCTTTTTATTACAGTGAGGACGAAGAGCTTGATGAAGATGTAAGTGCCAAACATATTTTGTCTTTCAAGAGCCAATTAGTTCCATACGGCAGAAGTTGATTTTATGCTTAATAATTTCATCGAGTGTATGCGATGAATCGAGAAATGTGCGCCTGGTTTTGTGAAAACAAATGAAAGCTAGCTGCAAAAAATATTTCGTTGGGTGATGCAGATTTGTTTTTGTCTTTATCAATCTTTGTACATCTGGTATAATTTAAAAAGAGAAAAGACGTAGTTATAAAAGGCAGATTTTAAGATTCAGCAAAATTTTGAGCTTTCAGGTGACATTATCAGTGTCTATCCAATGAATTTTTAACCGCCTCTTGTCTCTCAAACTCAATAAAACCCTTTGAAAGGTCTTCTTGCGTCCTGCAAAATCACATCAAGATTTGATTTGCTTTTCAGGAAATTGAAAGCAGAAGGGAGGCACTGAGAAGAAGGGCCCAGTACAAAGCTCGCGAGGAAAAGGTTATTAGGCCAAATTTAATGATGTCGTCATATTTAATTGTATTTTGACCTTAATTCCCCACTTTACTTGATTCTATGTCTGTTTTGAATCCTCATATTAAAATGAACAGTGGTTTAAGCGAAGTTCAAATTGACAAGATTCTTAGAAATGCCAAGTTTAACTATTTACTAGCTTATTTCATAACATCGACATCTTACATAAATTTATCTTTAGTTCACTATTATTTTTTGTTCTTCTATTGACGTTGGTTAAATGCTTGATTTCTTTTTCCATGAATGTCATCTAGTAATGGTTGCTTTATGGTGCTTCTTTCTAATTTAAATTTTGAAATGCACAAAAAAGCGTGCAAACTGTAGCTTATAATATGTTTCTCCTTTCTATCTTTAGTTCACTATTATTTTTTGTTCTTCTATTGACGTTGGTTAAATGCTTGATTTCTTTTTCCATGAATGTCATCTAGTAATGGTTGCTTTATGGTGCTTCTCTCTAATTTCAATTTTGAAATGCACAAAAAAGCGTGCAAACTGTAGCTTATAATATGTCTTGTTGACTTTGTAGGATATCCTAGATGTCGAAGAAGAAATGGAAGAAGAAGATGAAGAGGAAGAGGTATTTTAAGGATCAGATTTTTCCAGGAAGAATCCAGAAAATAGGAGACGCAAGGCTTACTATCGTGAGAAAGATAATCCAAAGCAAAGAATTTCAGTTACCAAAGCATTATTACCCCTTAATCTTACTTTGTTAGATCGGCTTTGAAAATGGTTGCTTATCTGCTCGAGATTTCATGTTACTTTTTCTTAGCACTGCATTTTACTGCGAATTCAGCTTGAAAATCAGCAAATTCACCTATATCATCTGTTCATGACGTCACAGTCGTTCACAGTCTCCAAAGTTTGCGTATAAAATGAATAACAATTATTTTCCACGACTTCCTTTAAAGTTGCTATTATTTGTGCTTTAGTCGTTGATTCAGCGAGAATATAAGATACCCTTTTTCCTTTTAATTCGCATTCTGTTTAAATTTTGTTGTGATGTTCTCCTTTTTCGGTCACTTTATTAGTTAGTCACAAAAATGTGTATCGTGGCACAAAAATGACACCGCTTTCCCTTGCCTTTTAATTTAACTCTTGTTGAAGCAATCTTTTTGAACACTCAGAAACCCAGCAGTCCATATATATCTTGCAAGCCAAATTTGTATTTTTTCACCAAATTCTGCTATTAAAATTCTGTACCAATATTTTTTCGGCTGGTATCAAGTCACGATTTATATTTTCTTTTTTGCAGTCATCAGAATACGAAGAATATTCCGACTCAGATGATGAAACTGGGCTGAGACTCAAACCTGTCTTTGTCAGAAGGTATGTCAATGAATTCTCTGTTCAAGCGAAATTTCATTAAGCTGTCAGAATATTATAAAGCCCAGTTACTATATGGTTTGGAATAAAGCTTGGACCATGGCCAAGTCCAGAGCGTTTTTAAAAGGGTCCAAAAGAATAACTAGAATAAGGAATAGACCAGAATTTGATGATTATTCAGAAGAAAACGAACGTTTATATGGAGGATTTTTAAACTGGATTTGTGCTTTGGTCTCGTTCGTCTTTTAGTAGATTGTGGTACAAAATAATTGCAAATGACGGTCCTTTTAATGAAGTTATATATAGCTACCAGGTTTTTGTGTACGGGAAATAATATAGCAGTCGTGTTTATTTTTTTCGCTAGTTTTTATTTATTTTGAAACTCAAGTCTCAAACAGCTGTTAAGTCTATTAACTTTTTGCGTTTTGTACTTATGAAAGGGCAGGTCCTGAAAGTCCACATCGTATATTTATTTTGCAGAGATGACCGTGTCACAATTCAAGAGCGAGAGAAAATATTACAAGAGAACGAAGTGTCAGAAGAAAAGGCAAAGAAACTTGCAGATGAGCGGAAAAAGACAGCTGCAAGGGTAAATTATTTACTATTCAATATTTTCATTCAATGCACTAGAAAACTCCACGCATCAGCCTTACTTTGGAACCTCCCCTTTCCTCTTTAAAAATAGCCGAGTTTTTTATGCAGCCAAAACCAAGGGTTTAACCGAGGTTTTTGCAAACGGCCTTTGTTAGAAAGCTTGAAATTGCCGACTTAATAAGTCAATTTTTCTCATGGACACCAAAAAGAATTATGCTCGTAATAAGAAGCTCTGCAGTTATCCTTGCTAGACAGCAATTATTTTCCAGAGACTAACTATGACTAACAAGAACTTACTTTTAATCACTGTGACCTGAAGCATCTAGCAGTTACACTTTATGTGACTTATAGTTACAATGACTTTCTGTGACTAAAGGTGACTTAAATTGACTCAATGTAACTTCCAGTCTAAAACTTCTTCTGTAACTTCCAGTCTCAATCTTCCTGACTTACAGTGATTTGTAGCTACTTAAAGTAACTTACTGTGACTTATAACTACTTAAAGTTACTCACAGTGTCTTATAGCTACTTATAGTGACTTATATGGACTTAGAGTGACTTGCTGTTGCTAAATGTGGCTAATATTGACTTATAGTGATTTAAGATGACGCGTAAACCTAAGGAATAACAACCGTTTGAAAATGACCAATAGTCATTTAGATGTATAGAACTAAAAGAATTTACCACAGTCGAACAGATGTATTTTGAAACGACAATATGCCTGAAAATTAATCCGTAGCAGTGCTGCCCACTATAGAATGATCCGTTTCGCTGATAATTCTCGTTATTAATCCAGTGATTGTAAGGCCAGAATTAAAAGGCGGTTGTCTTAAGAAAAAACATTAATGTATTTCATTTCATTAGTGTGGGCTTCAATTACACTTGTTTTGTCAAATATTTTTTTATTGTGCTGTTAATAACATCTGCGGGATGTTTGCACTTTTAGTCAAATATGTCACCAGCTGTAACCAAGTAAGGAAGACAATCTTAAAAACGTCAGGTTTTATGGGTCATAAGTGTAACCATTGAAAGGAAAAACAAACTGGTATTTTAGTGCATGTAATTCCAGTCACCAGTTCTGGCACGCAGCACTGATTGGTCAACTATACCGGTCATGTGCTTGCGTTTTTCTGATTGGCCTATTTCGATCCACAGCTGGGTGTATATTTTTACCGTGTTCATTCTGACATTTTATGCTCTGAGGAGTGTCAGACAAAAAAGCTTTTAGTTAATATGTTGCAAAATGTTTGCTTTTTTCAAAGCCATGTTCACCAGTCTTATTATTCCATGAATATGGCCTATATTATATAACACTTTTATGTAAATTTCTGTTTCACAAATCAATGTATTTTGGCTCTATATGATTCCCGAATCATTTCCTTTCTTGATTTTGTTTTTCAGATGATAAATGATATTGTTCGTGAAGAACTGAAAGAAGTTCAAGGCGGTAAGTCGTGAGATATCTTTGTGAGCTACCTTGAAAACAATGAGTTTGAAATGCTGGAATGCGTTTTTACAATCTGTATAACAACATGGCACATTCCTAATATTTTTGGGTCCTTTTTTACGAGAGCTAATTGAAAAGGAAGACAGCGCCTAACAAGAACAGCATAATATATCGGTTCCAAGAAAATTTCAGAGCTAGCTGAAAAATTTACTCAAATAAAGATATCTTACCAGTAAAGTCTAATATTTGAGCTCATCGTAAGATCATATATTCATTCATTTTTCTCCCATGTTACAAGTTCCTAGAAAGAAAATTATTTCTACAGCCATGCACCTAACAAGGCCAAATTCTCGCAGTTCACTTTCCAACGTTCCAATATTCCAGCATTCCGTATTCCATGCTTTAAAGATAGCCATGAATTGTGCTTGGTTCAACATGTGGTTCTTCAAATGCAATATCCTACGATTAGCTCTAAAACATAATAGCTTTTGAGCAATTCTATCTTATTATAAATATAGCCAATAAGTGTATTATTTAATGAAATTTCTATGACCCACCGAACACCTTAACCAGAAACTGCAATGCGTACAAGAGGCACAAATGACACCCATTAGAGCATCTTTGTATAAGCAGTAGCTCAAACACAAGATATGAGATCTCGTTAACGTATAGATCTACTTTCGTTTTCATCAGTAATGCTTTACGAATAAGCAAATCCTTTTACATTTATGTCCTTTGAACAGTCACTTGATTGTTGCAGTGAGCGTGAAACTCAGTGTTGCCACTTTGAAAAGTCCTTTTAGACTCACCAAAGCTCAGTCAATACGTCATCGAACACTATAGAACAAAACGATACACAGTAATCGTCGTTATATTTCCTTTGATGTTAGTTCCGAAAGAATTATATGCGATCGCCAAAAAGTAATACTTGAAGAATAGCGCGGAAATGAAAACCTAGAAATAAGCAGATTTTTCGAAGCCTTATGGCCGTTTCACTTCCTCATAGATCAAATTGTCGTGTTTTCTTTCTAAACTCTTTTCCGCGACTTTTTAGCATATGCTAAGTTAACATCATAAAGTCTGTGATCATAGCCGTATACCAAGCTAGATCGTCCCCACTTTTTCGCTCCATGAAGTCTGAAGTTAGATTTTAAAACGACATGGATTTCATTCTCAGCGATTGACGAGTAGCGGATTAAAAATCTTGTTAGGAGGCAGTCATTGACCGTTACAAGCACCTTTTCTAATGTGACGTATCTTAACTGTAAGAAATATGCTTGCTTCCTCCCAAAAATGACCCTCTTGGAAAGCTGTCATCTGTAATCTACGTTCGTGGGTTTCGAGCCCTCAAGACCCCACTCTGTTGGCGCTTATGCTGCCAATATTACAAATACATGCGAGAAGAAGTACGCTTTGGTGGGCATGACAGAGCTGTCCACTCCTATACACCAAATAGCGTCGATACAGACATAGATAGACGCTTTGGTTTATATAACAGGACCGTTTGTTGATTGCAACAACGTTTTTCTTACACAATGCAATCATCAGGAACTGTTCACAGCACTGTGTACAGCTGCGCATACAGCACCGAGCAGTGTTCGACATACCAGTATACAGCTATTGGTAGCTCGTAATGATTCAGAGTGCTACGAGCCCTTATATATCAATTTGAGTATTTACCATGGGCTGTAGTTTGCCTTCAATGTTGGATTCCTATAACCGAGTTTTAGTCTCATTTTAGCCTTATTAGATTCAAGAGTCTTTTCACAAGCTCTGGATGTCTGAAAAATAGTGATGGATATTTTTCTTTTCCTGGCTTAGTTTGATACTTATCTAAATTTGTCCTTTAAAAAAGTCTAATCTTATACTCGCAGCCTCCTATTTTTTCACTCCTTTCTTTGGAAAAATTATGAGTCAATCTTTATCTCGATAAACACCAGCTAGATTTGCATCGCGCCAAAATATAATTTCCTTTATACTATATTTTTAAATACACCTGAATATTATCAGAATATGATGAAATGACTCTTCTTTGTGTGCCATGGAAATGAGACAGGTTGCAGATGGTCTTAGTCAGACTGTATATAGTTTCAGGTAATTGATGCTTCACTCATAGTCTAGCTCTGTAAAGGAAACCAGTTCTTAGGATATAGATACGACTAGATAAGGAATGGTTTTGTCTGCTCAATGGATCTGTTGATGTTTATCAGTAATTTTGCCAGTTTTTGCGTCATTTTGCATTCAGCTGTAAAGAGATTTCTGCAAATGGACGGATTCTTTTGTGTCTATAATTAAGCGTTTTGTATATTGAGTATATGTATTTGGCAGTCTTACATAACTGAGGTGCGTTCTGTTTGGAATTTGTTGTTACGAGGCCATTTGGCTACGAGACCATACTTTAGACGTACTAGTAGGAACTGTCTAGTTTCCATACTGCTCGACCTGATAGTCATAAATAAGCATGATTAATAGTCATAAATTAGTATGATTAATTATTTCAAGTAAAGGGTTAGGGTTAGGGTTAGGGTTAGGGTTAGGTTTAGGGTTAGGGTTGGGGTTAGGGTTAGGGTTAGGGTTAGGTTTAGGTTTAGGTTTAGGTTTAGGTTTAGGGTAAACTAATTACTTCATCAGGTCGAGCAGTATGGAAACTAGAAAGCTGCGTACTAATAGGCCTACCGGACGGCGTAAAAGTTTGTCCTGATTGAGGCTACTAGCCATTCACAAAGAGGCCTATGTTTTTGTGGTATTTACATTTGAAGAAATACGACACATTGACATAGTATGAAAAAGTGGTCAAACTATTTTACAAAATTGATATTGTCCCGATTTTTTAAGCCATCTTCAAAGTTTTGCAGTACGAGAGTTTGATATGACATCTCAGGTTCTATGCTTTGGTGTATTTTGTCTTCGGAGTCAGTTTGTGCGGACATCTAAACGAGTTATTGTTAAAGGGATTTATAGAGAAAATCTACTTCGTATCTTTATGCTTAAATTTCCAGGGAATATTTGCATATCGTGTGCAACACATCAGGGCTGCAAGGGGCTAGAGATAGGTTGTTTGGGATTACAACTGTTTGTGCGAAAATCCTTTCATACTGGACGGGTCTCCCATATTTTGTTGTGTAACTGAGTGATAGTAAATGGATTGCGTTTGTGAATTTTAGTCGAAACAGAGGAGCAGATAGTCATAACTGACGAGGAAAACGACGAAGAAGAGGTAGTTATGATGTCTTCATGTTGTTTTCATCATTTATGTTTTTAAACAAACAAAACGGTTTAAGACGCATTTATTGAACAACTATGATATGTTCAATTTTAAGAATTTTATGGATTTTTTGTGTTTACGTATGTTCAGATTTGATTGAAAATCTTATTTAAAAAGTCCTTAACAACCACAGAAGCATATAATTATCGATGTCACTTGTCAAAATTCAGACTGTTGGACTTGTCAAAATTCAGTGAAACGCCAGTTGGTATTTCATAATGTTGTTTCTGCTTTTATTTCTCTAATGCCAAAATCACATCATCTGTCTTTCTTACCTTAGTACGAAGCATGGAAAGTCCGTGAACTGAAAAGAATCAAGAGAGATCGTGATGAGAAAGAAGCGTGTGTATCCGTTATTTATGTTCCAAAGTTAATCTTCCTATTCTGCTTAATTATGGCTTTCCGCTACCAACAGTTATAAAAGGTTTCCAGGCTGGCATCAAAATCTGCAAATACAAGTTTATAGGCTTGGTTTAGTTGTATTTATCAACTCATTGAACTTCAGGCAGTTCATGTTGCTTGTCTACCTATTTTCCGTCCAAATTATATTGAATATTTTATGAAAGTCTGTGGTACACTCTGCTTGAATCTGATGTGTATATGTAGTTGTATTTGTTGCTGTCTACCTTTCGAAGATAGTTTTAGAACACTTAGAAGCTATGCATGTCGAGTTGTGTCCAGGACCCACTTTGTCAGATGGAAAGTCATTTTATTGAGGTAATTTTATTAAGTTACCCATAGCCCTGCTTTACTTTTATGGTGACATTTTCCATTGTAGACGTGAAAAGGAACGACTCGAAATAGATCGAATACACTCGATGACCGAGGAGGAGAGACGAAACGAATTTAGAAATAACCCGAAAATGGTCACCAACAAATCTTCGAAGGGAAAATACAAGTTCCTTCAGAAATATTACCACAGGGGCGCCTTCTTTCTTGTAAGTAAAACTTTAGAGTTCAATATTAAGCTTATATGTCACTACGTTTATCTATCTATCTATCTATCTATCTATCTATCTATCTATCTATCTATCTATCTATCTATCTATCTATCTATCTATCTATCTATCTATCTATCTATCTATCTATCTATCTATCTATCTATCTATCTATCTATCTATCTATCTATCTATCTATCTATCTATCTATTTATCTATCTATCTATCTATCTATCTATCTATCTATCTATCTATCTATCTATCTATCTATCTATCTATCTATCTATCTATCTATCTATCTATCTATCTATCTATCTATCTATCTATCTATCTATCCATCTATCTATCTATCTATCTATCTATCTAATTATCTATCTATCTATCTATCTATCTATCTATCTATCTATCTATCTATCTATCTATCTATCTATCTATCTATCTATCTATCTATCTATCTATCTATCTATCTAATCTATCTATCTATCTATCTATCTATCTATCTATCTATCTATCTATCTATCTATCTATCTATCTATCTATCTATCTATCTATCTATCTATCTATCTATCTATCTATCTATCTATCTATCTATCTATCTATCTATCTATCTATCTATCTATCTATCTATCTATCTATCTATCTATCTATCTATCTATCTATCTATCTATCTATTTTTCGATCATTGCAAAAATAAGTAAAATTGACCAAAGATGGAAAAGTCTACAAGGACTTTGTCACAGACTCAGAAAAATTTTTTTGAAGCAAGCATGCTTCAATATATTCATATCGTTCCTAATGACAGGAACTTTCATGCTGTATTTTGCTAATCATATATTTGTTTGACAGTGCAGCTAATCAGAACCTGCCTTTCGTTATCGAAGTGCGAATGGACATATCTGTGTGATTTTAATAGAATAAAAATACAACCCATCATTTTCTTTGTTACCTACAATCACTGCCAAAATTCCTTGGAACACCCAACGTTTTGCGTTGTGCTTTTCAATTTTCATTTGCTTTTCCGAAAACTACTCTTTCCGTCCCCCTTTCCCCCAAGCAATATTGAAAGTATAGAAAATTATCATACAAGCCACACGAGAAAGCGTGCCCCATAACCCCCTTTTTCTAGTAAATCAACATTGTTCCCAGGGGGAGAGGGGGTGGCTGAATTTGCCTTTAAAAACTGACGTTAGTGTTCCAAGACTTTTGGCAGTGATTGTAGATAAACATTTTTAGCAATTTAAATGATTAAGAGGACATGACCTCAGGTAAACTTTGAAACGATAACCTTCAAACGAAACGATAACGTTCACCAGGTCCACTTTAGATCTTACCGTGCTCAAGGCATGTTTTATTCTCGCCACCATATTATTTTGCCGATAAGTGAAAGTGCTTTTCAATACTTAAACTTTTCTAAAAGATATCTTAAATTAACTTGATTACGATTAAAAATTGATTACGAGAGCTGTCTGAAAGCTTACAAATTGATTACAAGAGCTGTCTGAAAGTCAGAATGTTTTTAATAAATTTCACCCGATCGATCTATTTGCTCATTTTGCATATGGAGAACCAGTTTCATAGAGGGTTAGCAGTCCCTTACTTTTTGGAGTCTTCAAAATTATGTTCCTGTTGTTTTAAGTCTCCCCCTCTTTTCTAGTTATCCTTTCCATATGTAAATTCTTTCCACATGACTAACTAAAAAGTTTTATATGCATTGTAAAATGGTAACGAGGCTTTATGTTCATACTTCGAGACCATTGAATCAACATATAAATTGGATTAACCATGGAACCTTTATGGTTTAAAAAAATGACTTACTGCACGGGTCGTTTTTCCTAGAACTAAGAGTGAGTAATACAAAACAATCATTCCTGATTTAGATTGAAAATTTACAGTTAAGAGGAAGTATATTTTTGAGTTTAATTTCGGATTTATTCATTGTTAGCGGCTGCTCAGCAAATATTTGCAATCATACAATCCTTTTGGCTTTTTGTCACAGCCCAGTTTCACAAGAAACTAAAAATATTGAAATGACCTTTGCAATTGTTATTCAGACTGCTTATTCTCAATGTAAATTTTAGCTTTTGATTTTAATCTTGATTGTTTCCTTATTTAGGCAGATGAAGATGACAGACTCAAAAAGGACTTTAGTGCACCTACTCTTGAAGATCATTTTGACAAGAGTATTCTCCCTAAAGTCATGCAGGTAATTAAGAGCACAATTCCACGAACAAAACCTATTTGTTCTCAAAACATTGATTACATATGATTTGGTCTATGAAAATTACTGGTTACTAGTCTGTCGTGCTCCTTACCATATAGGCAGAGCTGTACACGCAATTTGGCGTGAAGAACATGACGCGTCTAAACTGCTACTCCGAGTTTCACGCTTAATGCGATCATCGGGCATTTGTTGAAGCTATTTTTTTTTGGTTGTTATTAGCTTTTGTTTGGTTTGGTTTGGTTTCAGTCAATTGCCGTTCTGGATCATGCATCCATAAAATTACGTCAAATAGGCCATTTGTTTCTAAAGATGAATGCACGTTGTGCGTTTTTCCATTTAATGGTTTACACGCACTTTTATTACCGTAGTTTGCACGTAGCACTTTTATGTAAACCTACAGTCGAAGTCTAATGATGCTGTAAGATGAAATCTCATTTGGAAACCGTCAAATTTTTGTAAACGTTGGTTCTGTATTTATGACGTCACAAGATTCATATCGTTTTAGAAAAATATCTTGACACGATGATCTTGAACTTGACAGTGATTGCAACCTAATGTTGCTTTAGGCGAATAAATTTGAGTTACCTGATGGTTGCATTAATTGTGAAGCTCTGAGTTGCTTTTCTTTACACTAAAGCGTAATTTTTATATTTATAATTTTATATTTTATATTTTATATTTATATTTATAAAGCGTAATCTTTACACTAAAGCGCATGTTTATCATCTCATCCTATTTCTGTTCTATAATATGTCGGGCTATTTTACCTTTTCATTGTCTTTTAATCAATCTCTTTGTATTCACTTGCAGGTGAAAAATTTTGGAAGGTCAGGCAGAACCAAGTACACCCATCTAACAGACCAAGATACTACCGAGGTAGGTGCAAAGGATTGTGGTTGCTTCAACCATACCTAGAAATTTTCCTGTACATTAGAGTTTGTTGATAAGGCTGTGAATAGAGATTGAATTAGATATGAAGGCAAAATTGAACAAAATTTCAAAGGCTTTTATTTGGAAAGAATCCTATCGAAGGAAAGTAAGAATATCTGTGAACAAATGGCAAAATTAAATATTAGGATCAATGCATAATCAATTTCCAATACATCAAAAGCATAGAAGAGAAAACCAGCAGAGCATTTGTGATGACCAAAAAGAATGCGATCCAAAGTTTGTGGACGATTATTCGAATCAAATCAACGAGATATTGTCAGTGGCATCATTTGGCCTCAAAAAGAGTAACGCTAAAACTGAATAGATTTGTAAGTTATAATGAGCAATGAGGTCTTACAGGTCATTATTTGCAGACATCACAAGTTCTATTCAAGTCATACAAAGCTCCAGTATGACGTAAATCCTGCACCAAATACTAGGGATTTTCTAAAAGCAGTAAGATGTACTACATGTGGGTAACCTTATTGCTGGTAGTTTTGCTACTTGCAACAATTTCAGGTAAAAATCGATTGATTTACTTCCTAGAAAACCGACTCACCATGGTTCATGGAGAGCTCACAGAGTCTCAAGTTCCATGCAAGTCATGGTGGTGGGATGAAGCAATCATTTTCGCGGCCTAGCGCCAAGAGGAAGTGAGGTATGCAGCTGGACGATTTTGTCATGGAGCTTTTCCTTGCACAGAAAGCAAGCATTTCTTTATGGTGCGAATGTAATCCAGGGAAGTTGTGAGAAATCTTTTAATGAACACTTGCAAAACGAAGACTATTTTTGCTCTATTGCATTGGTTTTCATTCATTCAAAGAGCAACCCTTGTTGGGTTTAAAGCGAGAAGCATTTGCCTTAGTTTACAGTAACGAACGTTTAATGAACGATTTATATACCCGTAAAACCCAAGGCAATTAGTGTCACCCCATTTTCTTAAAGACAAAATGAAGCAAAAGAAGAAAATTTTATTTTATTCGTATCAGTAGCCAAAAATTATGGCGAATTTCTCTGTATGTTTATTTTTAACTTGATGTATCGTCAAGAACTGGTTTTGCTTTTCATTGCAATTGTATGCGGAAGAGTGGAAAGCCAGGCATACAGTCCTGCACGGTTTTTTTACGCTGGATTATTTCTATATTGGATAGTAATACTTTCCTAACTTGAAAAACTAGTCCACTTATTGTTAAAATAGATGAAATATTTACTTTGAAATTTTGCTTGTCCTTGGTAATGTTGGCTGCTTTTACTTTGAAATTTCGCATAACCAAAAGTTGAATAGATGGAATTAGCTTACTTGAATGCTTTTCTACACTCTTCTTTTTGCTACCATGGCTAGTGATTTAAAATTATCGACTTTGAAGCGAATTTCATCGTAAGACTTTTGGTTGTTTTGTTTTTAAGATGCTCTTTCGTGGACTTGGTGACGCCATTGTATGGCTGTAGGAGCAGATGATGCAGCTGTACTGACGAGAAGCAGTTTAAAATGCAAGATTTCACCCATTAATAAATAATGCGATGTTATACAAACTTGCTGCTCTTTCTTTAGAGATAATTATGTCGATTTGGCAGTCCTTTCGCAGTACAGTTGTGAAAGTTGCACAGCCGTTGAATCTCGCAGGTCACAGGTGTGATTTTTAGGTTTATTTTATGGGAGAAGTGTTGTTGGAAAAGCTCAGGTCTTAGCAAATAAGTTCTTTTTTGATGCGATTATTTCTTAAAGCCGTAAACTGTTTCAAAAATGAGATTTTCGCTGTTGGTAACGATGTTTTGATTGACTTCTCAAGGTTCGCAAAATTCCTCAACGTTTACTGAATCAAAAAAAATCATGCCACTTATCATTTCAAACAAGGCAATCACAAAATTCAACTGTTTCTTTATCTTAGTTTTCCGTTCTCACGTTCATGCTCAGACTTAAGTTCATTTATAGCAAATCGAGTATCGGTTTCTTTATAAAATGTTTTTTAGTAAAAAGATTATAAGATTTAAGAGCAGCCAAGGATGCAATGAAACACTTAGGTGGTCAACTTACCACCCATTTTCTCCCTAGATGTACAATCCTTGCCAAAACCTTTTGATAAAGCACAATACATCGCTCTTTCCACCTCTCTAGGCCACCCAACGTCTTACACCGCACCCCTCTCTCGCTCCTAAACAATTTTGACCAGCGAATTTTATTCTAGTAGTTTGATTGCTGCACAACTTGGCACATCAAAATGTATGTTCATAAAGCAATCGCATAAAGATAAGCAACATTTTTTAAGGGGAAGGGGGGCTGCATGCAATATTTACGATTTTTTAAGATGTTTTGGCAAAAATTATGTCAGTTGTTTTTTCTATTTTATCATACGCTCTTGCAGTTACAAAATGTTCGATTAGCCCCGTTTATTAACATTGATTTTAAGATTTTTTAGGATAGAAATTATGCGTAGGTATGATATAAACAAGGATTCAAAAAACTAAAATCTTTGCAAAAAATAGTGCGAGCCCCACACTATTCACCTTCCAACATTAACAACCCATGGATTTAACTACAAGTCATCAACACTGTTGCTTTATTCTTCCCCCCCCTAACAATATTGATTCCTTCGTTAGAAGTGTTAATGTGTCTAGTCCTACTAAGATTGTCGCTTAATATCATTCAATATTGTTATCAAGCAACATTGTAAAAGGGAAAAAACACTGTAAAAACTTCGAAGTGTTTTGGCAAGGATGGTTTATCAGGAAACTTCAAGAAACTTCCGTTATCTTTTTTATTAAAGCAATGCAGTGAGAAATTCATTGAGACAATGTGTTACAAGAGTTGCTATTACTCCGTAAGGCCGCGGGAAGCCGCGGAATCCCGGGCAATTTTTTTTATTATTGAAACACCATGACAACTCATGGTTGTATTTTGGATGATTTTACTAAAACTTTTAAACAATTTATCATGCATGTATTGTCTTTAGAAACAATTTGGGTGATTACAGGATAGAAATATAATTTTCTTACATTCATGTGCTCAGAAATTAGTGATTAAATATTGCTTCTCATTTTCAAATCTTTTTAGACATTTAATACCGCTCAAGATTGTTATAAAACTTGTTTTCCTGTTTCTAAAAAGCATTTGTATTTTGACATTTCCTGTGTTGTGTCTGAAACTAAATTTTTAATGAAATGAATTTGCTTCTTTTGCTTTGAGCCGATTGTCGGGTTTTATTGCTTGACCTGCGATAACCTGCGTTTACAGAATATTTTGCGAAAACCCGCGGCAAAGCCCAAATCCATGATATAATCTTTGTGTGTTAGTCACATCTGTTGATTGTCTGGTGAAAATGAAAAACAACCAAGAGTCTAGTCTTGCTGAATTTTATTTAATCATTGATATATACACCAGGCTCCAGCTTTTGAAAAAGATTTCATCTTGCATGAAAATATTAACCAATTTATTTACATTCGAATATTGTGCTAAGTTACGTTATTTTCGATGCTATGCTGATTATTTGTGCAGTATCAACGCATCGTTATTGCAGTTCGTATCGCTTATTAGCCAGTGAAGTTTCTCAAAAGCTTGCTTGTTTAGGAGCTTCCCTTGTTAAGGCGAATTAGCGTCAGTTGTCTACTCTAATCAATTCCACTCCTTGAAGGGTTTGTGCAATAATTAAAACGTGTATTTACAATATTGGACATCCAATGTTAATTTGGTGTTATGGCCTAACACAGTCACATAACTGTAACACTCATTTGATGGTGATGGAATATCGTTGTTTAATTCATATAAACTTCTGAGCATCAATGCGGCCATAAGTCATATTTCCACCGTAAATAAAGGAGATAAGGCCGTTAGGCCTATTATTTTCGGCTGTTAAATCAACCCCTCTGAGTTCTGTCCTGTTCCATGTTGCAATTATCTATTTGTTTACATACGCAAAAGCTGGTACAAAATCTTCCAAAAAATATTACCTGCCCCTTTTCATTTTGCCTCCTTGAAAATCATGACAAGCAAAGCTCTTCCAAGCATAGCAATCAAGAATCCTTCACTGACAAAGGAAGGTCAACACTACAAAATTTTCCTTTAAAGGCTATGTGTACTAGCTAATTAAATATTTACACCACATCTTAAAAAGATGTTATAAATACACATTTCTTCATATTAATATAAGTTTGAAAGTCAGGGAGAAGTTGCTCAATCGAACTGTGACAGTACGGCTACGAAGGCCTTTTTCCAGGTTAAACATTTGATGCGCGGCTTCTCTTAAAAAAATATATAAGCTTTCTTCACGCATCGATAATAACTATTTTGATAAATGTTTGCTATCAGTTAGAAAGTTGTTATAATTATTATCTAGCTATCGGGTTATTTATAAATGAAAAAAGGAATTGATTGAATCCAGAAAATGTTCTTCTAGTTGCTGCCTGTTAAGAATTGGTATAGATGGCGTACAGCTTTGATCCAGACAGTATGATAAACAAACGTATGCGATTTTGTACTTATTTTATTGTGCAATAACAGCGATTAAATGCCTGCCTTTTGGCTTTGAGCATGCAATGGTAGTTTATTTGGAACCCCTGGGACTCCCTAGTTTCCCCTAGAAATATGCTATGGATTGACTTTCTAATAAATAATTTAAAAAATTACAGTTGACTAGCTATGCTACTGAGTCGTCAGCATGTCTGTTTGTTTCAACCTGCGACTCGCAATCTTCAGAAAATTGCCTCGTCAATGATAGAAATTCTGGTGTTGGTGACCTCATTCCATTATTTTTCTTAATATTCACCTTTGGTTTCTTCGTGTTAAGGTGTTCTTTCAAAATTTCCTCCATTATTTCGTTGTATTCAATTTCGTCCGTATGCGATTCACTCGCAGTTCGTTCTAAGACCTTCCTCGGTCTTATTCGTTTATTTATTGATCCGGCAAACATTTCAGATGGCAAACCGATCTCATTGCTTCTCCGGAACTCTGATGGCTTGCATTCCGGTTGTGTTATTGTCCGGGTCAGGCGATAACCATTCTGAGGCTCGCTCCATGTGCTAAATACCTTTTTATTATCATTGCGCGAAGTCCCGAGTTCTAGTGAGGGTTCAATAATATTATTTTTTCCCTTTAACCGCCGTATTCCACTGACGCTGTTTGCTGAAAATGGGCGACCGTTTGAATGTCTCCGTGATTGTGCCGGGCTGATATCGACATCAACAACCTGAAAAGAGAAACCAAAAATTGAGGGAAATGAGATTTTGATAAGTAGTTTTTGCACGCAAAGAATTTTATACATATTGGTTGGTGTTTCGTTGCACTTGATATGCACTTTTGATCAAATTTATCTGCCTTGGCGTTGATTTTATACCAGAACTGGTAGATTATTCGTGCTAGTTGGTTGAATTGTAAAATAATTTATCTATTATGAGCATCATTTCATTTTTCCAACATAACCAAACTGTTTTTTTCAATTTGAATTAATGTAAATACGGTTGAAATCTGTCCATGTTTTACGTGGGTAAATTTTGGGGGATTCATACTCGCCCCAGTCCCTTACGCCTTCAAGTTACTTTGAACAAAGCATAATGCATGGCCTAATTAGCAACGTGGTAAATGCTACAAAACGAAAATACAATGGCAATAAGATTTTGGAGCTCAGCGAATTCAAGGTATTTTTCAATTCAAGGCAATCAAGTTTTTGTAACAGTTAAATTTCATGGCAACCTGTTTAAGATTCACGCAGTCGGACGGTTCAAGCTGTTTTCAAATACAAATAACAATGGGCCTAACTAAGCATGTTACCAGGGATAGATTGTTGACTTGAGCCAATCAAAGCATTGAATGATCCAGCCTCGCAGGTATGTTTTATTTTAATTTTTTTTGCATTTTAATGACGTAGAATAACTGAGTGAAAGTTTTAGAAATTGGAGGAATTACCCACTTCGTGTAGAATATTTTGTAAGACCTTATTCCCGAGAGGTTTGTCCTATGAATGCAAATAGGGTTATGAAGGCGTTTCAAACAGATGATTCTTCAGAGGTGCTGAAGAAGAAAGTTTTATCAGAATTTGATTTGCAAAATGCCGAAATCTCTGTTAATTTTTCACCGATTCGCAAAATTATTGCATTTTTTCTGCAACGGTAATCTTTCCCCAACTTTGATTCTGTCAGCTTTGGGAGAAGATAAAAATGCGAGTTTTCATAACACTAAGTGAAACTTCATTCTATTTTGTCAAGATACCCATAAAAATGTCTAACGACAGTTGTAAATGTTATCAAAACATCTTCAAAATGGATGCACCGTTCATTAGATTTCTTACGTTCTCCACGCGATCGCGCAAATAGCTGGTGATTTTGCAAAACTTGCAAGTTTATTTTAAGGGCAATTTTGTATCAAGCACTATATTTAACAATATACATCAAAGGTCGATATATTTTTAACTGTAGAATCGATATCGTCTGTTCAAAAAACTCACAGTAGCAAGTGTTCTGTAGGTAAGCTTGACCAAGTTTTGTTTATAAATACACTTGGCTCAAGTTTCAACCTGGTGTTTCTTATTTTTTGCATAATTTTAACCTCAAGTGTTTCTTATTTGGTTTCTTATTTTTGCAATTCAAGTTATTTTGCAAAGTAGTGTCCGAACATAACATTTGCTTGATTTTATTATAATATCTGTTTTGCTTATCGCTTTCTGTTGTTCTGTTGCTATTCTTTTATTTTTCAATTTTTACTTGCATTTTATTTCTTGAGTTTGTAGAATCTCAACCTGCCTTGTTTCCTATTTTGTTCTTTTATTTTGGCAAATCTTAGCCTGATCTTTTTTTATAAAGGTTGTTCTTATAAAAAAATGTATGAGTGCTTGAATGAAATTCAACTTTTAAAAAAGTGATTAATGATACTTACAACACTATTATTGCTCTCCACTCTACTGTAGTTTGGCTTTTTCGTAACATTGTCAACTTCTGTAGTTTGATCTTCCTTAAAAGACTTATCACACTTCTCCTCCGCAATGGCCTGTCCATTTGCCATTACGTTTTCCTCGCTATCAGCTGTTTTCGCTCTCCGCGTTAGGGTCCCGTTTGGAAGTATAGGTGGAACGAGATTTTTGTTTGCAGTTCGTTCTTTCTGTGCCTCGTCAAAGAATTTGCTGATGCGTCGCGGAGCTGTATCATCGGGTACGATCGTTCCACGGCGAGTATTGAGATTATAATGCGTCATCTCATCTAATGGTCCGTTAGTCATTTTGTAGCCAAGTTTTTTCATGGCCTTTGTGTTAAGATTTTCAATTCGTAAGTTTCTAATGGCATCCATAGGATCCTGCATATCAAATTTCTTTGTTTTCTCCTCTATAAAGTTACTCAGTGAGAAAATCACTCCTGACATCAACGACAAGCCGATGACATAAAATATTAAAAACGCAACTTCAACTGCTAGATTAATACTAACATGCTGGTCATTGTTTTGGAGGCCTGGGACCAGATCACCAAACCCAATGGTTGTCATAGTTATAAAGGAGAAATAAAATGCATCTACAAAATCCCATTTTAACTCGCTTGCTGAAAAAATAGCTCCGCCAATGACGAGCCAAATAATGGCCAACATGAAGGCTGTAATTGCACATTTCATCTCAATTCTTTCTGCTTCTCGATTATAAAGCCTTCTTTCAAAATATTTTATAGAAAAGGCAAATAGTGTGGTTAACTCATTGCCAACAGTGCGAAGAAAATATCCAGTGAGCGGAATTCCAATGATTGCGTAAAGTATACAAGCTAGTTTTCCTCCAACTGACATAGGCACAATGTGTCCGTAACCTGAAAGCAAGAAAAATATATATCAACTTTTGAAATTAGTTTAAAGGCAAAATCACAGGTAAAACCGTCTGAGGAAATTCTGAGTTGGGGAGGGGGAGGGGGGGGGGGGGAATTTGTTTCAGAATTGACACGATTCCTCAGAGTTTGCTAAACAAAATCTGGAATCAAAAGGGAACATTTTTATGTATTTCCAAAATTTTGATGTGGAGAAGGGGCATGTGCCCCTGGGCCCCTGCCTGGGCCTCTGGTGCCCTTGATGTCCACACTTCCAACATCCCTGGTCACACTTAGCATTTGCAAAAAAGTGGCTTGATAACTACACTATATTTATCAAAATGGTCTAGCACAGTTCGGCGATTTGTACGGAGCTGCTTGCCATACACAGGGCGGAAACCTCCCCACGGAAACCTTCTTAAAAATCGGTTTTCGCTCAAGGCAATTTTGGTAAAAGCGAATTAACGAATCAGGGAATCGGCAAACGCGACCAGTCGCTCAATAGTTCAACTGATTTGAACCATGTTTGAACTGATCAGCGAATGGTCGCTCACTCGTAGCAAAAAGAAGTTAAATTTGTGCAGTCTCGTATGTGCGTTCGCTCTGTTTCGCAATACGAGCGATTCAAGTGGAAACCTGCTTATCGTGGACACCACCTTAATGCGGACACCTCAAAACAGCAGGCAGAAATTCTTGCTTAAAAATTTCTTCTTAAAAATTTAAAAAAAAGTTACGGACAAAGTTTCTACCGCACAGCACAGCTGATACTTCCCTACATGTGACAGCTATCCTTGGTCTTGCAGATGTCAATTATGAGAAGTTTCTAGTGTATTAAGAATAGGTCTACTTAAAAATATATTAGGTCGATTGTGCACCTATACGATTCATTAGGACGTTTCTTGCTGTTCTTCACTAAATTGACGACCAAATCTTGATTGAATGTCAAAGATTGTACAGAGAACTTAATCGATTGACTCTCGCCCCCGCCAAATCGATTGACTCTTTGCTCCGGCCAGAGCCACGATAGAAAATAAGAGAAACCTCCTTAATTATGCTCTGAAGAGTGTGTCAGACGAAAATTTTTCAAAGAAAAATTAGCAATATGGGAATATAAGCCTTTATATAAATGGGGCAACCGCCTATTGTTTAAAAGAATGAAAAGTCAATTGGACTAAAGAGGGAATTGCCCCTCCCCCTTGGTTAATATGTTGAAGGCTCTAGCTGGGCTCTGCCCCCCTGAGAACCCCCTAGCACTAAATCCTTGCTTCGGAGGGACATAGTTTTAAAGGGGGGATGCTTTTCATGGTTCAGAATACTTCAAATTATCAAGCTGGCAAACATAAAAAGAAAATATCTTAAGAAGAAGTAAAGATCAATTAATAAAAAAGATTTGATAAAAAAAGATTAGAGAGACTTTAAATCATATAAAAACAATAGGTTACAAGAAAACGTTTAAAATTAGACAAAAACAGGCTCGTATAGAGAAGCGGCTTCATCTGTCCTCGTCCATTTGACACTCTCTCTATTCATTGTCGGTTAACCTCAGGTTTCATGTTTAACCTTGATTCGGTTTTGCTTCAAAACGATTTTTTTTCAAACTAAGCAGCCAGGCCTTCCATTTCTTTCAAATATCTTTCCCGCAGTTTTCCGTTTCAATCAAATCTTACTGGTGCGTAGACAAAATAGCAAAGATTAAAGCCAAAGAGAGAATGAAATTTATTGCATTCATGAAAAAATAGAAGCTCAATAGGCTAACCAATTATTTCTACAGAAAAATAATATGAATTATATATTTGACTGTAAGCGAAACAGAAGCATAGTGCACTGAGAAAGCATATCATTTTATGCGTTACTTTTGACTCATCCAACTTCATTTGAAAAGATAGTAATAATGTTCTATAGGAACGCTAATATATTGCAAGAATTGCCATGGTTCCTATCTTTATCCTTTGACTTTCCACCGTTGATGATACTTCGACGAAACTTATTTAACGTGCAGAGAACACGGAGCCAGTGAGAGACAGTGTGTTGCTGTAAAACTCTGATCTGAACTGAACTGACTGACTTACCTACAAACTAACATACATATATTCAGAAATCAATTTGCATACTAAGGATGAGTTAAGATGATGTAATGATGATGTAATGAAGAAGAAAAGATCTAGACTAAGGAAGAAATCAGCATGATATAGATGTGTGAACGTGTGTACAAAGGTGAAGGGAATGTCCTGTGCTAGGTGCTGCCATCGAAAGAAGAGTAGGAATATGGCCTATTTTACAATATGAAATCACTACAGTTCTATAGTCTGACATCACAAAAAATTGTTTTTTCTTTCGTCTACATAACCTGAATTAACGCCATGCAGTACCCCTGAAAGTGCTAAATCAGTTAACTATGTTAAAAATGGACAGAATTGTAGCAAGTAAACAAACTCAGTTTTGGTAATAGATTACTTGGTTCAAAAAATTTTTAAACAGAGACCAAACTACATAATTTGGCGGGGAAGGAGCATATGCTCATGTGGCCACGTCTCTGCCAATTGTAACACATCAAGCTGATTTAGCATATTTAAAGATATTTCATGATTTTCTCTCAAGTTGTTTGATCTAATTTCAAAGATCCTATAAAAATATTTAAGCCGTCATCACTAGTCTATTGAGCCATATATTACATATTTTGATCAACTTCTTTTGCAAGTTCACTAATAATTCCCAGCTATTTTTAATGACCTGTATGCTTGCTTCTAAAAAAGCTCGAAAGTAAAATTTCAAAAAAGCATTTTTAGTCCCCATCTCCATCCAAAGCAATGCTATAGGTGAATTTACAGCCTAGCAAGGGGATAACTGCACAAGCAGAAGAGACCAATAGTGTTTGTTCTTTGAAAGATATTCTTATATAGATTTTGCCGTTTAAAAACAACATGTCGTTATCAATCTGTCGTTATCAGGAAGATTTGACTTCGGATTCAACAAACCCTTAGTAACGAAGGAAAATTCACCAGATCTTCTATGAAAGATTTAGCCGTAAGCCCTGATACCCTTGCTAGCTTTGCTTTTAATACCAGCGCTGGCTTATGAAAATGCATCATCTTATTTTGAAGTAACATATCACCACTAGTATTGCTCTAATTTTAAGCTCCGTCTTCATAATCACGCAGAAGCACTCTGTTTTTCGCGCGGAAATCCCATCACCTAGCATTTTTCTGCTATTCCATAATCCTGATATTAATATTTTAAGGCTATATTTTCTACTAATCCCTTAAAATAATTGATCAAGTATTGCAAGCAAATATCAAATAACTGACGGCCTAGCAACGATTTAATTCAAGTGAAATTTTCGTTACTATGAGAACAATAGTATGGGATGGCGTCAACAGTTGTCATATGCCTTTGTTATCATCTTTCTATTATGTTAAATTCAATATTGTCAACTTTGAAGATAAATTCATGGCATCTTAAAATAATACTTTCTATATGCGTTAAGGCTGATTTCCACGAGGCGAAATTCGCTTAGAAATGTCTTTGATTTCCACGAGACTGCGAATTCGCTGCGAAATTATATAATAATTTCCTCCAAAACTCAACTTTAAGGCGCCTATTTTAAGAACTGCACGCATGACGAATGTTCCAAGATTATTTTCTTACAAATCAAGCAAATTTACCATGCTTTGACTGGTTATTAGGTGCTGCGAAATATTTCGCCGAGAAAAAGTAGAACTCTTTTCTACTTTCATGCATAAAAGATAGCTTTGATTTAGGTGTAGGTATTCATTTCTAGACATTTTTGTCTTTTTACAGAACACGGAGCCAGTGAGAGAGACAGTGTATTGCTGTTTAACTCTGATCTAAACTGAACTGACTGACTTACATACAAATTAACATACTTATATACAAAATAAATGAGCTAAGTAATGATGTGTTGTGATGATGTAATGATGATGCAATGGAGAAGGAAAGATCTAGGCTTGGGAAGAAATCAGCATGATATAGATGTGTGAATGTGTAAACAATGGTAAAGGGAATGTCCTATGCTAGGTGATGCCGCGAATGACGTAAGTTGGTGCTATGGTGATGGCATGATCGAGGAAGGAGTAGAAATGTGGCCTGTTTTACAATATTAAAATCACTACAATACCACCTTTCTTTCTTTACTGGAAGAAGTTTTGAACCTTCAGATGAACCAACCTTGTCTTTTATGATTGATCAAAACATCGACAAGTATCTAAGAACGCTCACTTATGTATTTATGAAGCCTAGGCCTTCAAGATACACATATTTGATATCGATGTTTTGCCGACCAGAAGAAGAAATTGATGCTGAAGATCTCATATTCTGATTTCTACGTGTTATAATGAAAACATTTCAATGGCATAAGCTGAATTGTAACGCAAGCTTTGACAAATTAAGCAGATAAAGCATGAGAAATATAATTTTGATTTAAAACGTCATCAACATGAAGCGTTTGCTAGTCCTTGAAAACAACGTTGATTAATTAAAATCAAAGCTTCGGTTCTTCATACGACCTTCAATTTCATTACTGCTAAGCGCGGTTTACAATAAAATCTAAATAAGAATTATCCGTGCAAGTCAAATGACATATCTACCACTCAAATACGCGAGGCTATCCTCGCCTATAGCGGTGTTTTTGCAGCGAGGTAGGCAAATATTTGTTTGACTTCTCGCGTAATAGACATACCTGCGCAAATATGTAGGGGAAATATTTTAGTTTTTGATTGATGCGGTATGCCAGGAAGACAAAAAACAGTTAACACTACAAACAAAATGTTCAACTATTATTGTTGTAAAGTTTTGCACAGAACTTGTTAGGAGAATTTTAACTGCACAAGACATCGCCATGATATATCTCCGAAGTCAGCGTAAAGAAGTTGCAGATTTTGCTATGTTTATCTTTGAGAATTCTCAAAATTGAATAAATTATGTCTTTTACAGGAACTCTTGGCTTTAAAATCTTAATTTTTTATCTCATGAAAGTTGCAATTAATGTT